GATCATGTGATACTTGTCTTTCTCTGACTGGTTTATTTTGCTTAGCATAGTTCTTCTAATCCATGAACAAGGTATATGCTTTCATTTTTTTTTTTTTTTTAATTTTTTTATCCTCATCTGAGGACATTTTTGCATTTATCTCCAGACAGAGTGGGAGAAAAAGAGGGAGGAAGAGAGAGAGAAACATCAATGTGAGGAAGACACATCGACTGGCTGCCACCCACACGACCCCAACAGAGGCTGGGGACAAACTGCAACCGAGGTACGTGCCCTTAACAGGAATTGAACCTGGGACTCTCTGGTCCATGGGCCAGCACTCTAACCATTGAGCAAAACTGGCCAGGGCTGCTTCCACTTATTTATATCTTCCTCTATTTATTTCTCTAGTGACCTGTAGTATTTTGCAACTAGGTCCTTTACTTCTTTGGTTAAGTTTATTCCTAGATATTTTAATTTTCTTGCCACAATGGTAAATATTTCTCTTTCATTGAGTTCGTTGTTGGTGTACAAGAATGTGGTTGATTTCTTGACGTTAATTTTGTAACCTGCTACTTTGCCAAATTCATTTATTAAATCTCGTAGATTTTTGATGGAGTCTTTAGGGTTTTCTATGTACAGAATCATGTCATCTGCAGATAATGACAGTTTCACTTCCTCCTTTCCCATTTGGATCCCTTTTATGTTTTCTTCATGTCTAATAGCTGTGGCTAAGACTTCCTGTTCTGTGTTAAATAAGAGTGGCGAAAGTGGGCAACCATGTCTGGTTCCTGTTCTTAAGGTAAATGCTTGCAGTTTTTGCCCATTGAGTATGATGTTGACTGTAGTTTTTCATATATGACCTTTATTATGTCAAGATATGATCCCTCTATCCCCACATTGCTGAGCATTTTTATAAAAAATGGGTGCTGGATTTTGTCAAACGCTTCTTCAGCATCTATTGATATGATCATATGGTTTTTATCTTTCATTTTGTTTATGTGGTGTATCACATTTATTGATTTGTGAATATTATACTATCCTTGCATCCCTAAAATGAATCCCACTTGTTCATGATGAATACTTTTTTTGATGTATTGCTGGATTTGATTTGCTAATATTTTGTTAAGGATTTTGACATCTGTTTTCATCAGGGATATTGGCCTGTAGTTTTCATTCTGTGTAGTGTATCTGGTTTTGGACACATAAATTTTCAACAAGAATACAATGAACTACCTAGAAAAGAGTAAAAGAAATGTGTATATTATATATATATATATATATATATATACACATATATATATATAATCTTTAAGATACCACTGAAAGACACACAAGAAAACTTAAAAAAATGAAATAATTAAAGCACAAAACACACCCTTTTCTTGGATAGGGAGGTCAAACTTAAGAAGCTGACAATTCTCCCTATGTTAATGTACACATTTGATGAGATTCCAGTAAAATATCCAACTTTTGTTTTAAATAGAGAAGCTGATTTAAAGATTCAGGTAGAGGATCAAATAAGGACACAGCTGAAGAAATTTAGAAAAATATATGCAGTAAGTGGGAACCAGTCCTATGAGATATTAAAACACATTATAAAGACTTGATAATTGAAAGTGTGATTCTGGCACAATTATACACACAGAGAGACCAAAGAAACAGACTAGAAATTCCAGAAATGCTGACTGAAACATGTGGGAATATAATATATGCTGTAGGGGGTGATCAAGGTGTCCTTTCAAATTAGTGTAACAAAGATGAACGACTCAATAAAAGCTTCTGGGACTACTGGATGGGTTTATATCTATACTTCACCTCTGTGTGGGATTGTAGTATTTTTCTTAATTATTTACTGTTGCTCCTGTAAGAGAACTATATATTTCTTTACATTGCTGTGTGTGCTTCTTTGTGGGAAGAGTCACTCTGACTGCAACCTACAATTGAAGTCAGGCTTCCTGTGTGACTTGCTTTAGTCAATGAAATTGTAAATGGATATGATATATACCTCACCTGAGTTGAAACTTTAAGAACCACTGCTTGATCCAGCTATTTTCTTACTCCCCTCCATGAGAATAGTTTATCCTCAATGATACTTTGAGGTAGGATCTGTTATTATCCCTATTTCTTTGTGAGAAAGCTGAAGTAGAAGTCTAAGTAACTGCCCTAGTCACTCAGCTGGTGAGGCAGGGATGGAGTCAGGATTTGAATATAGACAGTCTGGCTCCAGTGTCCAGACTTTAACCTCTGCACAGTGCTGCCTGTCTCCAACACATTCTCTAACTTTAATCCTTTTATTTTCTTGTGAGGTCCATTTTTGTTGTCTTAGCTTAGTGACAAAGACAAATATTTCCTGTTTCCTCTCAAAAAATATTTATGCCTTCCTAGTTACTGATCAATACTTTTCTCTCAAGCTTCCTAGACCACTGAATACTTCTTTTCCCTAAGGATTCTCAGAACATAAATTATTTTCAGTTATCCTTTAGTTGACTTTATATGTTATGTTCATAGTTGGAATACAAGCCGATGAATTACAAGTCTGTACTCTTTACATTACTTAAAACAATATAACTCATTATGTAAACATGTTTAATGAGTAAATGATGGAACAAATAATAGCTTAATTAGAAATTATATGTTTATTCAGTAAGCCTTTTTGATGTCTGTTTTACAGAGATAAACAACACAATTCCTTCTAAGTAGAATCACAGGACAGAGAATCCAGAAAAATCTGTAGCCTAATCATAGTCGTCAAATATTTTCTTGCTCTGCATCTATGGTGAGAAGAGAAACCTAAGTGGGATGTAGGGTTTTTTCAGGAATATTCCCTCAGTGGAGTCTGGGCAGTGTGTGTGAGCTAAAGCGGCAGTCAGCAAACTTTTTCTGTGAAAGCCCAGATTCTAAATGCTTTGGGCTTTGTAGGCCATATGGCTTATGTCATAACTACTCAGCTCATGATAGCAGCAATGGAAAATAGTGATATAAAGAGTGTGGCTCAGTTCCAATAAAACTTCATCTATAATCATGTGTTGGGTTAGATTAGGCAGGAGAATCATGATAGTCAGCCCTTGGGATGAAGGAAACCAATTAGTTGTGATGTGAAGTCTTGTCTATTACTGATGGCTATCTTACAAACAAATTAATAAACAAAACGTATTGACTTTTCTAATAATAGAGTGAATGTCTTAAATTGGAGAGTCCACCTACAGAGTAAGTATTCTTCTCCAGTTTTCTCTTTGTGTGAGAATGTGCCACATGAATGGTCTCAGATTTAGAAGAATATGTAGGAAGCAAAGTTAATGGGGTATGATGTTGGTCATTGCATGTGACCTCTCACCTATGCTGCAGAGGGCAATGTACTCAGCAACAGCAGACTCATCCAAAAGAAATATTAGGTGAAGGGAGAAACAAAAAATCTATAAACCAGAGGCCATATTAAGTCTATTTACTTTACTTTTGGTGAAAATTACATCACATCAGGATTTTTAAAACTCCATTTAAGTAGGCCAGAGTTGAGTAGGATAGTTCCCATATCTATATTTTCCATCTAGAGTAGAGGAGGGGTATTGAAGACTGTTCAGATAGCAGCTACTCAAATTTTAAATTCTTAGGAAGATGACCATTGTTGCATTTGCTTGTTAGCTCTCTCTTCCATGAACTCTTTGCTTCCACTCATTTTGTCCAGCTTGCTTCTGAATCTCTTTTCTAAGATTATTGCTCTAGCCTAAAACACTTCCTACTTCTTTCTACGTTAGAAGATGTACTTGTCTGTTAGGATCCAACTCAGATCGTTCTTTCTCTGTTTGTCCTTCTTTTTTCTTTGTTCATCTTAAGCACTAGCATTCTGTGCTGTTATCACTTCCCCAACTTCCCATTCCATAGCTCACTAACACTCACTTATCATTAACTGTCTTTTCTTGTTACATTATCTTTTCATATGTATTATGTTCTCTGTGTCTCTAAACTATCTGAGGGCAGTCACCAGATATTATCTTTCTTTGTAAACTCTTAAGTTTCTGACTTAGTAAACATTAATTGATCAATTTGTTTGTAGGTAGTTGATATCTTGGAGGAAAGGTATAAAAAGATATAATATTAATTGAGTAGTCTAAAACCAGGATCTATTGTCATAGTAGCATCGATTTCTTGGTTTGGGGTTGAAACTATTTAATTGTCTCAGTTTTGTCTCACTTACCTGTCTCATAGTAATCATAGACTTTAACAATTGGTGGTTTTAGGTTTCTTACTGGGATGTCTTGCAGAACCATAAAGGAAAACTTAGTGCCTAATCTGTCACCTAAAAGGAAAAGTGGGAGTTATAAAGAAGTTAGAAATTCTCTTTTCTCTTCCTTGAGTAAAACATATTCTTTATTGTTTTCTGACTCTTCTTTACCTGGGTCTTTTAAGTAAGCTAACATTTGTAGATGTAAAGATGAGTTTGGAAGGCAACCTTGGGAACTCTTTACAGTGAACAAAACCCCGCAGATATTCTCCTAAACAACTGAGACAACTCATACGCTCTTGTGGTTCTCTGTAAGAAATTAACTCTGAGTCTATGTGAATGTTTTCTAAGATGCAGAGACTTGGCTTTGTATCGTCTGTAATTAAAATGCCAAACTATTTGTGTGTGTGTGTGTGTGTGTGTGTGTGTGTGTGTGTGTGTGTCTAGATAAAACATTCCTTTTACTTTATAGTTGACTTTGAAGATATTCTTGAGGTCTACATTTTATATACTGATATATTAGAATGTTAACACTATCATTAATCAACCACAGTGGTATATTTATTCTTTTGGTGAATCTTTAAAATAACACACATGATAAACATTTATTATATTGATTTTCTACTGGAAATCATAGAAATACTTGTATTCCAACTATAACATAATTAAAAAGAGAGCAGGACATTCCATGGATTTAAAAGGAGATTTACCTTTTATTCTCTTTAGAATAGAATAGCTTTCTAGAAGGTGCCATTAATTATTGCTTTTCTCATATTACTTATCTTCTAGTGAAGAGACCCACTTAGAAAGACCAATATGTGTATAGTCTCAGCCCAAATGCCAGAACTCTCACCTGTTCCACATTAATGATGACACAATTATTGCTCACTTCTGTTCTCATGTGGCTAAAACTTTCAAGCTGAAGAACATTAGAAAACTCAGAAAGTTAGAGAATAGGTATGAGAACACTGAGACCTAGAGCAGATTGTAGTAGGGGACAAATGTTTATTCTTTAAACAATGTGAGGATTAGGATGCCTATGACTCAACTGCAATATTGAACAGTCAGGGTGCATTAGCTATACAAAAGAATGGGAGAGGGGAAGGAATCGTGTTTGCAAACAGGCTTCGGAGTTGTCATGTCTCAAACTGTGAAAAAATATTAGGTTTTCTATCAAGAGAAGGAAGCCAGGTATTTTCAGGTCAGGATTTTCACTATGCTTCAATATCCAAGTAACATGTTAGACCCTCTGGCATCTTGAATGATTCCAGCTCACATTAGTTTTATCATTGCCAATTTTTTGTGTATGCATATTAGTCAATTTGGTACTTAATCATAGTTTATCTTTCTTGCTTGTTATTGTATTGTTTCATGCCTATGTGCCTCAAGTTCCCAACTAGACCATGAATGGCCTAAGGGTGGGGTCTCCCCTTGTATTTCTCTGGTATCACGCAGGTCCCTTAGCTTAGAGCAAAATAGTTACTGGATTTAATTTCCTTGGTTTGGGAAAAATAGTTTTTGAGGCAGGATGATATTGATAGGGCTTTGATATAGGTATGGTATCAGTTTAAAGAGACAGACATCCTTTTGTACGAGATCTACCAGGCTTAACCTACCATTTTTACTGTTGGTTTTAAGGGAATAAAACCAAATACCACTTTTACATCAACAATCACCATATTAGAGACAGGACAGTTCTCTCTGTAACTGTAGTGTTAGAGAAAAAAGGAGTTAGGCTTTATAATGTGAAAGAAAGCCAGATTTCCTCCTTCAAGACCCACCATAAACCTGTCCAGCTTCATGAAGTTTTCTTAAGATTATTACCTACAGAAACCTGTGTTTCCTGGACATGTATGATATTGATGTTTAGAACCCTGAATGTACATCAGATCCACAGCTTACTAAAATCATAGATGTTCAAGCCCCAGCCCTAACCTATCAAAATAGAATCTGTAAGAATGGAACTTGGTAATCTGTTTTTTAGCACATCTACAGTTTTTGGACACTCCACCTATATTACTTATTTTGTTATTTAGTATGTCTTTTATATTTTTAGTTAACTTCTTGAATGTAGCAGGTCTCCCAAGAATGGCTTCAAAATGTGAGGTCAGATAGAGTCTTAGACTTTATACTTTGATTAAATTTATCTTTAACAATTGGACTGATTGCCTGAAATATCATTTGTTTTATAATAGTAATGTCATTATTGTTAGATACAAAGCAGTATCTAACTATGTTTTCTGCAGACTCCTGCAAAGTTTTTGATGGTTTAAGATAGGGCAATCTCTACATTTTATATGTAATTTATATTTTGTATTTAATATTAGCATTTATTATTTATTCATTTGATTTGAAAAAAATAAGATAGAATATAATTATACAGAAGAGGAACAGGCCTGGCCAGTGTGACTCAGTAGTTGAATGTCAACCCATGCACCAAGAGGTCCTGGTTTGATTCCTGGTCAGGGCACAGGCCTGGGGTTGTGGGCCAAATCCCCAGTGGGGGGCATGCAGGAGGTGGCCAATCGATGTTCTCTCTCAATGATGTTTCTATCTCTCTCTCCCTCTCCCTTCCTCTCTCTCTAAAACCAATAAAGAAAAAATATTTTAAAAATTTACTAATGAAAAGGATAATTTCATAATGATAAAAGACTAACTTCAATAGTATATATATATATATATATATACATATATATATAAATTTTAAATTACATTTATCTAATAGCATAGCTTCCAAATATATTATTAATTACTGATGGTTCCAGATAGCTTTTAGACTCAGGATTAGGTGATTTAGTCAGAAGGTCTCACCTGACATTCAGTGAGATCGGGAAGTTGGTATGGGTTTGGGTCCACCACAGGTTTGGGGCAGAGTTTGTATCTTCACAGCAAATAGGGAAGGATATTATATTTCATGGATGTCTGTGGAACACCAAGAACACAGTCAGTTTTTCTCTTTTCCAGGGATGCCTCACTTTTTCATAATTTAACTTCCCCAGATTTGCCTTTTGCTTGCCCAGGAAGCAAAGAGCAGAACTTCCTTTTCAGTAGAAGGGGTGAAATGAACTTTTTTCAATATAAGTCCAGAGTCTCAGCTGAAGATACACACATTTCACTGTTATGGCATATTTCCCAGGCAGCTCTGGCAATGAGACCTGCTGCATTACCAGGAGGCTGTTGCTGTCCACTTGGAGTTTTGTGGAAAAGATCTGTGAATCATGAATTGTCCCTTGTGCAGTTTTCCATGTCCTGGGGAAAGTTGCTGCTCCATATCTAGACGGGGCACGGAGAGCCACCACTGTGTCCTGGAAGAGGTGAGTGGAGAACCCGCACCCAAGGAGTAAGTTTTTGGTGGCTGAAATTTTCCTCAAAAGTCTGTTTTAGTTTCTACAAAGGGATGCTGGCTTTCCCTGCCCTAACGTATGCATCTGCTAATTACTTTTGCTTTTTTTCCTTCTTTAAGGCATAATCAAAGTCATGCTATAGTTTCTTCAAATGAAAAAAGATTATTGATGCAAATTAAACTCACAATTTAATTTTACTTGTGTTGGCATTGTCCGGAGGGACTATTTCTATGCCCAGAAGTTGTTCCCTGCTCTTTCTCATCAATATTCCTTTTTTCTATATCTTTCAAAGAATAGGTTTAAAATTAAAAAGTTAAGATGAAAAAAGTGACTGTCATTTACTAGACAGTCATTTAAATGGAAGAATTAAGGAAATTGGCTGTGAATTGGTATAAGACAAATTACACTTTTCTGTTTGTTTTCCCCTTATATAGTTTTTATTTGCCACATCTAATATCCCTGAAAAACAAAAGTTTCCATTTGTACATCCTAAATATTGAAAGAAGGTGTGTAAGAGAAAAAATTCAGATTCTCTGGATGTCTAACACAATCATTTTTACACTCAATAAAATATTCCCAAAATTGTGGTAGGAAAAATAATTTAAGAGCTTTAGCTTAAAAACAATCAATTTAAAGGGGGAGTAAGAAAGGAGGTCTCAGGGCAGTTAAAAAGGAGTAGAGAGTCTGAATTCCTTAGAGTGGTTAAATAGAACTTTTCAATCATCCCATGAAGATTAAAATGAGCTCTTTGTGGTCACTCTCCTTTTAATCACACAATGTTCTGGTTCATCTCAGATAATTTCTTACAGGATTCTAAAGATGTATGTAGTGTATAACACTGATTGTCAACCAGGGTTGATTTTGCCTTTTCTCAACTGGAGGTAGGATGCTACTGGCATCTGGTGGGAGAGATCAGGAGGCTGTTAAACATCTTCCAATGGCCAGGACAGCCCCTCACAACAATAATTATCTGGAACAAAATGTCAATATATTTATATTCAGAAACCCAAGTCTAGAGTGTGGCTATTGACCAATGTGTGCTAATGATATAATATAGCTTTAGCGAGGAATGACATTTATGCTTAAGTAGCTGTATTGAGAGGATAATGCAGGGCTTAGTGAAAATTGTTTTGGGGGAATGTCTTAAGTCTTTTTTCCTAATTGTCCTACTATTCTCAAACATCTTCAAATAATTCTCCCATGATTTAATGATTCATCTTCTCTTTTCTTTGTAACTGTTCTGTTTTCCAACTTCCCACCTGCCAAGGGAACCTAGAGAAGAATACTATTTGGGAACCACAAACCTGGGTGGAGGAGAAGCCCTCATAGGAATTCTGTTCCTTTGTGACCCATTTCACAATGTGTGATGCAGAAGTCAGGCCGTTTAAGCTTGGGGCAGGCTGGGCTGTGAGATAAGCAAGAAGCACATAGGACGTCATCTCCATCTCAGCGGAGGGAGAACAGGGTAGGTCAAAATACCCTTCTGATCTCCTTGATTTTGAGGTCACTCCCAGTGGACTGTGTTGTTTTAAGGGTGAGAAAAGGAGAAAATTATAACTATTGGTAGGCAATAAGTTAATATACATTCATATCATATGGAGTTGAAAATAATAGAGAGATGAAGTAAGGTCCTCTCTGTCATAAGCCTTCAAAACTCACTAACTCACATTTCCTTGCTGCGCTCAGTTTGGTTGTGTGGGCCTAGGACTGAGAATGTTGTTGGAGGAAGAAGTATAGTGCCCACTTGTTAATCTCTCAAATGTTTCTTTCAATTGGATTGGTGGAAAGTGACAGAAAGAGTTCTCTTACTATTGGTAATATTTCCTGGGAAATGGAGTATAAAACGATATAAAACCTGCCTATTACACTTCTCCAAAGAGGAAATACAGATGGCCAACAGACATATGAAAAGATGCTCACAACATTACTCAGCATCAGAGAAACACAAATTAAAACCACAATGAGATATCAGCTTACACCTGTCAGAATAGCTATCATCAGTAAATCAACAAACAAATGTTGGCAAGGATGTGGAGGAAAGGGAAGACTCATGCATTGTTGGTGGGAGTGAAGATTGGTGCAGCCACTATGGAAAAAGAATATGGAGAGAATACCCAAAGAAACCCAAAACACTAATTTGAAAGAATATATTCACTCAGCCCAGCTGGTGTGGCTCAGTGGTTGAGCGTCAACCAATGTACCAAGAGGTTGCCAGTTCAGCACATGCCCAGTTTGTGGGCCTGATCCCCAGTGTGGGGCATACAGGAAGTGGCCAATCATGTTCTCTCCCATCTCTCTCTCTCTCTCTCTCTCTCTCTCTCTCTCTCTCTCTCTCTCTTTCTCTTCCTCTTGCTCTAAAATCAATAAAGAAAAAAAAAAAAAAAAAGAAAGAAAGAATATATGCACTTCCATGTTCATTGTAGTGTTATTTACAATAGCCAAGATATGGAAGAAACCTGAACGCTCATCAGAAAGCAAGTGGATAAAAAGCTGTGAGATATATATAATGGAATGAAATTTTACCATTTGTAACAGCATGGATGGACCTAGAGAGAGTTATGCTTAGTGAAATAAGTCAGTCAGAGAAAGACAAACACTGTATGATTTCATTTATATGTGGAATCTAAAGAACAAAACAAATCGACAAAATTCAAACAGACTCATAGATACAGTGAACAAACTGATGTTTGCCAGAGAAGAGGGGGCTTGTGGGGAGGGGGGGAAGCTGGTGAAAAAAGTGAAGGGATTAATAACTACAAATTGTTATTCACAAAATAGTCACAGGGAAGTAAAGTACAGCATAAGGAATATAGTCAATATTGTAATAACTATGTATGGTGTCAGATGGGTGCTTGAAATATCAAGGGTACCACTTTGTAAAGTATATGATTGTCTAACCACTATGCTATACACCTAAAACTAATATAAAATACTATAAAATAATAATGAATATAAACTGTAATTGAAAAATAAAACCTACCTATTGATCTCAGAGAACTTTTGTAATAATCTATCTGGAAAAGAGAGATAATAACACATTGAAAATGTTAATGCACTTTCTTTAGTATGGCTTTTTGTTGTACCCTTTTCCATCCAAGTATGCAGGCACTTATCACATAAAAATATATATATTTGCTTAATATATTCATCTCAGCAGGTAGGAATAAAATTTCATAATGTTCTACAGCACTATGTCTATATAGTTTAACATATGCAATCCCAGAGGAGATATTTTAATAAAAGGTGTTCTGATCTCACAGTATGTGACTTGGCTAAAGAATTCCAGACTTGTTGCTTTTAGCAGGAATATATTGCTCCTCTTCTTATAGAATCTGTGTAAGTGGAATTTATTTTTAACCTTTGCTCTTACCTTCTTTCACAGCTTCCTCCAAAGAGTTCAGTATTTCTCTCCTCCTATCTTGGTGTCTTGCTAGGGCAGAAGCCTAGGCTAACAATGCCTTGGTGTAGCCATGGCTCTCATGGGTTCCCTCTTTTGTTATGTCCAGGCAGACTCCAGGCAGAGTAGGGTCATTTGAACAAGAGGGTGCTGTGAAGACAAAGAGGTGGTGTCAGACTAGGGCAAGTAGAGGGTGGAGCAAGTCCTGAGCTAGATATTGCTTGACAGATGTCATTCATGGTTCTCAGCCAGTCAGGTAGACAGCCAATATCCACCATATTTAAGTTGAAAAAAACTTAAAATCTCTTAACTTTATAGTTATGTCTTAAAAAATAAGGCTAGAGAACCTGTGTTTTTAAGATTAGTTTTGGTACGTAGTCCACAGGCTTTACTGGGCAAATATATGTTTCCCTTAATGGACTGACCAAATTGCTCACCTAGTTGAGAAATGCCTCACCATTGAGCAAAAGGAAAGTTGAGACTCAGCTTTTAGTAGAGTGGTAGTCCAGACATCAGGCCTGTAGTTTTTATTTTTTATCCTCACTCAAGGACATTTTTGCATTTATCTTCAGATAGAGCGGGAGGGAGAGGGGAGAAGAGAGAGAGAGAAACTCAATGTGAGAAAGACACATCGACTGGCTGCAACCCACATGACCCCAACTGGGGCTGGGAAAAACTGTAACGGAGGTATGTGCCCTTAGCAGGAACTGAATCCGGGACTCTCTGGTCCGCAGGCCGATGCTCTAACCGCTGAGCCAAACTGGCCAGGGCCAGGCCTGTAGTTTTCATGGTGGGAAATAGGACTGAGGTGGGTCTTACAGTGACTGGATGAGTACTCTCCAGAAAAGCAACAGTCATGTAGACAGAGGGTCAATTCATCTTCTACTCAGCCCTGTAAATGAGAAAGAAAGAGAGAATTTTGATTAATTGTACTTGATTACTTCTACTTCTAAATATTAGCATATTATTCTCTTCTGTTTTTTTAAGTGCAAATTGTCCTCAGTATCTTCTCTATTTTTTTTTTTTTTTAATCCTCACCCGAGGATATTTTTCCATTTTTTGTACAGATAGAGTGGGAGGGAGAGAGAGGAAGAGAGAGAGAGTGAGAGAAACATTGACATGAAGGGACACATCGAGTGGCTGCCACCTGCACGACCAACCAGGGCCGGGGACAAACTGCAACAGAAGCACGTGCCCTTAGCGGAAACCGAACCCGGGTCTCTCCGGACCACAGGCCGACGCTCTAACCGCTGAGCCAAACCGGCCAGGGCAGTATCTTCTCTATTAAGCAAAGTAACACCCTCATGCAAAGCACCATTTTTTTCTTTATAATTTTCATGTTTAATATTCCTTCCTGGACGCCTTCTCTCATTACCTAGGTCTACAACTTTGTGATTTCTCTGTGCCTTCTTTATCCTCTCATTCTCGGAAAAAAATTTAAAAAAAAATATTTTAACTTATCTTTATTGTTGAATGTATTACAGATGTTCCACTACCCCCTTTTTCCCCATTGACCCTCTCCTCCCTAATCCCGCCCCCTCTTGCCTTCCCCACACTATTGTCTGTGTCCATAAGTTATGCATATATGCATGAAAGTTCCTTGCTTTATCTCATCTCACCCTCCTTCTCCCCTTCTCATTGAGGTTCATCAGTCCAACAACAAATTTGTACTTCTTAATCCCTTCATCTTTTTCACCCATCCTCCCAGCCTCCTCCCATCTGGCAAGCAACAAAAAGTTCTCTGTATCTAGGAGTCTGTTTCTGTTGTGCTTGCTCATTTTGTTTGTAGATTCAATTGTTGATAGATACGTATTAATTGCTATTTTATTGTTCAAAATTTTGTTCTTCTCCTTCAAGAAGACCCTTCAATATTTCATATAATACTGGTTTGGTGGTGATGAACTCCTTTAGCTTTTTCTTGTCTGGGAAACTCTTGATATGTCCATCGATTCTAAATGATAGCTTTGTAGGATAGAGTAATCTTTGTTGTAGGTTGTTGCTTTTCATCACCTTAAATATCTCTTGCTACTCCTTTCTGGCCTGCAAAATTTTTTTTTTTTTAGAAATCAGCGGATAGTTTTATGGGAGCTCCTTTGTAGATAATGAACTGCTTTTCCCTTGCTGTGTTTAAGAGTCTCTCTTTTTCTTTAACCTTTGGCTTATTGATGATGATGTGTCTTGGTGTGGACCTCTTTGGGTTCATCTTATTTGGGACTCTCTGTGATTCCTGGACTTGTATGTCTGTTTCCTTCACCAAGTTAGAAAAATTTTTTGTCATTATTTTTTCAAATAGGTTTTCAATTTCTTGCTGTCTCTCTTCTCCTTTTGCACTCCCATGATACAAATGTTGATACGCTTGAAGTTGTCCCAGAAGCTCCTTTATTTTACTATTCTGATTGGGTATTTTTGCTTCCTTATATTCCAAATTGATGGTTTGCTTCTTGGCTTTACCTACTCTATTATTGTTTCTCTGTAAATGATTCTTTATTTAAGTTAGTGCATCTGTCATTTCTGACTGGTCCTTTGTTATATTGTTGATGTTCTCACTAAATTCTTTGGAGTTCTCTTTAAGTTCCTTGAAGATCTCACTAAGTCCCTTGAATGTCTCATCAAGTTCCTTGAGCAAACCTAATAACCTGTGTTTTGAACTCTGCATCTGATTGATTGCTTATCTCCATTTTGTTTAGTTCTTTTCCTGGAGTTTTGTTCTGTTCTTTCATTTGGGACATGTTTGTCTCCTCATTTTGGCTGCTTCCCTGTGATTGTTTCTATTTATTAGGCAGAGTTGCTACGTCTCCTAGGCTTTGTAGGATGGCCTATTGTTGTAGGTGTCTTGTAGGACCCAGTGGTGCAGCCTCCCTGATCACCCCAGCTGGGCCCTTGAGGTACACCCCTAGTGTGACTGTACACCATTCTGTTGTAAATGAGTCTTGATTGCTGTTGGCATGTCAGTGGGAGGCATTTACTCAGGCTGATCAGCTGTAAGAACTGGCTGTGCCCACTCACTACTGGCCTCTGACTACTTTGGAGGATCAGCTGTGTAGAGGCCCACCACACAGAATAAGACTTACTTCAGCAGGGCTCTGGTACCCACTGAGTCCACTCATTGAGTGTATCACTTGTGGAGGTAGTTGAGTGGTGGTGCTTCGATGTGGTCTGAAGTTGCCCCCTAGGTGTGTTGGCTGTGGGGCAAGGTCAGCCTCTGCCTGTGTTCTATCCAGGGCCACATGGCATAAGCTACAATGTGATCTTCAGATGGCTGCTTTTTTTGCTGGGCTTGGAGGTGCCCAGAAAAAGCCAAGTTGTGAACCAAGGCTGACTGCTTCTAGAGCAGTGGTTCTCAACCTGTGGGTTGTGACCCTTTTGGGGGTCAAATGACCTTTTCACAGGGGTCGCCTAAGACATAACAGTAGCAAAATTACAGTTATGAAGTAGCAATGAAAATAATTTTATGGTTGGGGGTCACCACAACATGAGGAACTGTATTAAAGGGTCGTGGCATTAGGAAGGTTGAGAACCACTGTTCTAGAGCCAGGCCTGGGGCCACTTAACAAGAGGTATGGGGCTTGCTGAGACCAGATGCTGCTTGTTGGAGATAATTTAGGTAAATCTGAGGCAGGATTCAAGACAGGCCAATTCTATGGGAAAGCCACTGGAAACAGCTTTGGTGGGCCTGCAAGTTGGGTGGGGCAGGGCACCAGGGAATCACTAGCATTGGGCAAACAGTGTGAGCCAGGTTGCTGGAGTCCCAGATGTGGTGGCCTTCTGCCTGCCTTATGGGGGAAGGGCTCACCAAAGGAGCAAAGGCCTCTCTGTCCCAGAGAAAGGCACATCTATCTCAGAGAAAGCTGCCTCTCCAGCCCTGCCCCAAGGTTGAACAGCTGAGTTCTTCCCCCTATGTCTCTGGGGCCCTTCAAGCTGCCTCCCCTCCAAGTTCAGAGGGAGCAAGTCCAAGTAAGTCTGTGTGCCCTTTAAGAGGAACTGCGTGGGGCTCCAGCATCCTCAGCCTCCCTCAGCCTCAGTTCCCACTGGTTTTTACAGCCAAAGTTATGGGGTCTTCTCTTCCTGGCACTGGAACCCTGAGCTGGGAGCCTGGTGTGGGATGGGGACCTCTCACTTTTCAGGGAGAACTTCACAGCCAAGGTATCTTCCTGATTTTTTTCTGCCATATGTGGGTATGGGACCAGCCCATTCATTCCTCCACTCCTCCTACCAGTCTCCATGTGGCCTCTGCTTTAATATTGTAGTTGTAGGACTTCCATTCAGCTAGATTTCAGGCAGTTCTGAATGATGGTTGTTCTGTAGTTTAGTTGTAATTTTGATGTGGTTGTGGGAGGAGGTGAGTACCACGTTTACCTACGCCATCATCTTGATTGTAAGTCTTTAAAAATGTTAATATTCATGAGGTTCAGGATAGGTACTCACAGTTCCTCACCTTAATGTCATTGTTGAGCAATGACCCAGAGTTCCTGAAACAACCATTGTCCTTCTGCATTTCAGAGAGCCAGGTGAGGGCCAGGTGTCCTTCATCAATGAAGATGTAGGCTCTAGCCTGGGCAAAAAGTCTGTAGTACAAAGGCTGTGAGCCTGAAGGGTGAAGAAGAGTGGGGTGCTGAGACCATCTGTTTTTATACAGCACTTTAGTGCATTGTTTTGCACATATTAATTCCCTCTCTCCCCAAGTCACCCTCATGAGGATGAAAGAGCTATTACTGAGAGTTTGAAAACGTTTTCTGTTAACCTGGCAGCTTCTCTCTCTCTCTCTCTCTCTCTCTCTCTCTCTCTCTCTCTCTATTTTGTTGTGGCGTATTGTTAAATGCATTACCAAGGATTCTTGCTTTCAAAAGCATTTCTGCATCACTTTAGAGATTTAGGTTTCTCCTGGTTTTCTTGGGTGGTTAAGATATTTGCTCTTAGAACAAAGTGAAAGGGATCACAATACCAGATATTAAGTTATACTACAAAGCCATTGTAATCAAAACAGCCTGGTACTGGCACAAGAATAGATAATATAGATCAGTCAAACAGAAAAGAGAACCCAGATATCAACCCAAGAGTATGCACGATTACTATTCAACAAGGGAGGCAAGAGCATACAATGGAGAAAAGACAGTCTCTTCAATAAACGGTGTTGGAAAAACTGGACAGCTACATGTAAAAAAATGAAACTAGAGCACCAACTTACACCATACACAAGAATAAACTCAAAATGGGTAAAAGACTTAAATGTAATTCGTGAAACTATAAAAATCCTAGAAGAAAATGCAGGCAGCAAAATCTCAGATATCACATGTAGTGGAATTTTCACTGATACATTGCTTAGGGTAAGAGAAACAAAGGAAAAATTAATAAACGGGACTACATCAAACTAAAAAGCTTCTGCATGGCAAAAGAAAGCAGCATCAAAATGAAAAAGGAACCCTCTCTCTGGGAGAACATATCTGCCAATGATACATTGGATAAGAGGTTAATACCCCAAATCTATACCATACTCATACAATTCAACAAAAAGAAGACAACAATCCAATTTAAAACAAACTAATGAACAAAATAGACCCAGAGTCATAGAAGTGGGGTACAGACTGACAATCCTCAGAAGAGGGGGTGGGGGGAAAGAAAGGGATAAACCACAGAACTTATATGCATAACCGATGGACATAGACAACAAAGCTGGGGATGGGGTGGGGGAGATGGGGAGGAGGGTATCAATGGGGGAAAAAAGGAGAAATATCTGTAACAAAAATAAATTAATTTAAAAAATTTATTATCTAGATATAAAAAAATAAAGAATGAACTTGAAGCTTAGAAAAAATACCAGAGAAGAAAAATAAATAAATAAATAAATAAATAAATAATGCCAGAGGACCTGAATAGACACTTCTCCAAACAGGACATACAAATGGCCAGGAGACGTATGAACAAATGCTCAGCATTTCTAATCATCAGAGAGATGCAAATGAAAACAACTATGAGATATCACCTCACACTTGCCAGAATGGCCGCCATCAACAAATCCTCAAACAGCAAGGGCTGGCAAGGATGTGGAGAAAAGGGCATTTTAATACACTGCTGGTGCAGCTACTATGGAGAACAACATGGTGTTTCCTCAAAAAATTAAAAATAGAACTGCCATTTGGCCCAGTGATCCCATTTCTTGAAATATATCCTAAGAAGCCTGAAACACCAATCAGGAATAATATATGCACCCTTATGTTCATATCAGCACTATATACAATAACTAAGATCTGGAAACAGCCCAAGTGCCCATCAATAGATGAGTGGATAAAAAGGCTGTGGTACATTTATGGAATGGAATACTATGCAGTTGTAAGAAAGAAAGATCTCTTATCCTTTGAGATGACATGGAGGGACCTGGAGAATATTACATTGAGTGAAATAAGCCAGTCAGAGAAAGACAAGTACCACATGATCTCACGTATTTATGGAACATTATGAACAAAATAATCTGTTAACCAAAATGGATCGAGAGTCATGGAGTATGGAACAGACTAACAAACTTCAGAGGGATGGGGATGGGAGGGAAGAAATAAACCAAAGAACTTATATGCATATATGCACAACCAATGGACACAGACATAAAGTTGGGGAAAGGGGAGAGGGGTGGGAGAGGGTCAGTAAGGAAAAAAGGACATCTGTAATACTTTCAACAATAAAAAAAGGAAGTTACATAAAAGATATTTGCTCTTACATTCTGGAGTTTCTGTATTTATTTATTTATTTATTTATTTATTTATTTATTTATTTATTTATTTATTTTTTATCCTCACCAGAGGACATTTTTCCATTTTTTGTTCAGGTAGAGTGGGAGGGAGAGAGAGGAACAGAGAAAGAGAGAGAGAAACATCGATGTGAAAGGAACACATTGAGTGGCTGCCACCCGCACGACCGACCAGGGCCGGGGAAAAACTGCAACCGAGGTACGTGCCCTTAGCGGGAACCGAACCCGGGTCTCTCAGGACCACAGGCCGACGCTCTAACCGCTGAGCCAAACCGGCCAGGGCTCTGTACTTATTTATTTCCAGATTTCTTACTTTGTCTTCTGCAGTTAATATTCTATTGGACTGCCTTCTTTTAAATGTTCTGTTTCAGTAAATCTGTTCCTCTACATCACCCTGCCTCTCCACTACGTTTTGGGTCACTGATTTCCTCCTATTTTCTTATATGATCAGACTTGAAAAAAATAAAGGAAAAAGAAAGAAAGTGCTGTCCTGGTTCCTGTTATATTGCTCCCCAAATGTGGAACCATCTTGATGTTTGTAGTTCAGCTGTCTCTGGAACCCTGGAATAAAAGGTTCAATTAATTCAAGAAGTATTAGAGAAAGGCAGGATAGCTGTAGGTGCAGGCTGATGTATTCAGGCAGCATTGATGTTTCATGGCCTCATGTGTAGAATCTGTCATAGTTTTATGGCTATTCTGCATATGTCAAAACTCAATATACTATTAGATGGTGGGAAACTTTTCATTACTACAAAAAATCCCCATATTAGCTTGATCTCTGGAAATGTAATGTAAGCTTCATGACGAAAACTCTCATTAGAGTAACATTGTCTCACCACTGATGAGATAGCCAATGGCCTTAGACTTGATCTCCAAAGTCAACTGTTGGGTTTCATTCAGATAGTTCAAGACATAGATGCTAGGAGCAAAAAGGGCTGTGTTTTGTTCTCCACAGCCATTGGACATCTGGAGGGTTTCTGTATAGCAGAACTTAGTATGTCACCTGGGGAATGTGAGATTAAATGTCAGAGTAATTTAAGTTCATATGTAGTCAACATTATTAAAACAAGTGATTTTCATATTGAAAGTCATATACTCTATCTATCTATCATTTAGACAAGGAAAATTTCATATTTAGAGAGAGTAAGCCTTCCAGAGTCCTATATAAATAGATGCTATCAATAAGTTGATATTTAGAACAGAAATACATAGAAATATATAGAGAAAAGTTATGGTGGCAGCTCGTTTGTCCCAAATTTCCTAGATGCAAGATAATTCACCCAAAACTGAGAAAGAGGCTCTGGCAGATCCTTTGACCACATTTACTAGGAGCTTTGTGGATAATTGCTCATATATTTCAGTACCTGTGGAAATAGACAATCCATATGAAACAATGACATCTGTTATAGCAGTATAATGTAGTGGTTAGGAGTCGGGTTTTAGAGCCACACTACCTGGATATGATACTGGCCCTGCCATTTACTAGCTATGGACCTTGGACAAATTACTTAACCTCTTCCTAGTCTAACCTGCTAATGTGATGACTCAGTGAAATAATACATATAAAACATAAATTAGAACAACTTCTGCAACATCTTAAATCTCAATACATGTGTGTAGTTATTATTATTATTATTACATTTAGAAATAGCACTATTATGTCTCCTTGAGAAACCCTGCATCCAAGAAATAAGAATTTTGACTTATGATGAAATTACCTTTAATAGTCCAGCTTTCCTTGGCACTAAATTACTTCCTGAGTCCTTTTCCTCTCTCGCTTTACCATGTTCTGTGTTGCTGTGCACAGTAGCTCTCCAAAAGAAGGCTAGTTTCATTTTTTTTGCATGTAGATGTCCAATTTTCCCAACACCATTTATTAAAGAGGCTGTCTTTACTCCACCGTATGCTCTTGCCACCTTGGTCAAATATTAATTGAGCATGTTGCTTTGGGTCCATTTCTGGGTTCTCTATTCTGATCCATTGATCTATTTGCCTGTTCTTGTGCCAGTACCAGGCTGTTTTGTTGTTGTTGTTGTTGTTGTTGTTGTTTGTTTGTTTGTTTGTTTTATCCTCACCCGAGGACATTTTTCTTCATTTTTTGTTCAGATAGAGTGGGAGGGGAAGAGAGGAAGAGAGAGAGAGAGAGAGAGAGAGAGAGAGAGAAACATTGATGCAAAAGGGACACATTGAGTGGCTGCCACCCGCATGAGCAATCAGGGCCAGGACAAACTGCAACCGAGGTACGCACCCACAGCGGAAACCGAACCTGGATCTCTCTGGACCACAGGCTGATGCTCTAACCACTGAGCAAAACCAGCCAGGGCCCAGGCTGTTTTGATTACAGTGGCTTTGTAGTATAACCTGAAATCTGGTAATGTGATCCCTCCAACTTTGTTCTTCTTTTTCAAGATTGCTGTGGCTATTCGGGGTCTTTGTTGGTTCCATATAAACTCTTGGAGTATTTGTTCTAGTTCTGTAAAATATGTTGTTGGTATTTTGATGGGGATTGCATTGAATCTATAGATTGCTTTGGGTAGTATGGACATTTTAATGATGTTAATTCTTCCAATCCATGAACAAGGTATATGTTCCATTTTTTAATATTTTCTTCTGTTTTTTTTTTCAATGAACTGTAGTTTTCTCTGAAGAGGTCCTTTACTTTTTTGGTTAAGTTTATTCCCATGTATCTTAATGTTTTTGCCACAATGGTAAATGGGATTTTTTAAGTTTCTCTTTCTGTGAGTTCATCGTTGGTATATAAGAATGTCGTTGATTTCTTGATGTTCATTTTGTATCCTGCTACTTTGCCAAATTCATTTATCAAATCTGGTAGATTTTTTATGGTGTCTTTAGCATTTTCTATGTACAATATCATGTCATCTGTAAATAATGAGAGTTTCACTTCCTCCTTTTCAATTTGGATCCCTTTTATTTTTCCTTCATGTCTGATTGCTGTGGCTAAGAATTCCAGTACTATGTTAAATAAGAGTGGTGAAAGTGGGCACCCCTGTGTTGTTCCTGTTCTTAAGGAAAATGCTTTTAGTTTCTGCCCATTGAGTACGATGTTGGCTGTAGGTCTTTCGTATATGGCCTTTATTATGTTGAGATATGATCCCTCTATTCCCAGATTGCTGAGCGTTTTGATCAGAAATGGGTGCTGGATTTTGTCGAATGCTTTTTAGCAGCTATTGATAAGATCATATGGTTTTTATCTTTCATTTTGTTTATGTGTTGTATATCACATTTATTGGGAAAATACGTATTTTTTAAAAAGTGTGGATTTATATATGTGTGGAAGAGAGAGATGCATACTGAAACATTTGATGTAGCCTAGAGAAGAGAGTCCAGTTCTGCACAAATGGGTTGTGTATCTGGAGATCAGCAGAAACTTGCTCTCTTCCCGTCATTGCCTAGAAGATAAACTCTCATAATGCGAATCTCGAATATTCTCTTGCTAAAAAATTTTCAGTGTTTTTTATTAACAAATAAGAAATATTGTTTTAGTCTTTCATCATTCTTGTAATTTTATTTTTGTCCATCCCTTTAAATTTTTTCCATGTATACATTATTTTCTGCTTTCATAAAATTAATCTTTAACTTTGCATTTCAGTCCATATTCAGAAATTATGTCAGAATGAGAATTCATTTTATGTGAACTGAATAAAAATAAAATGTCTAAATAGAGATGGCTGCATACTGTAAAATTTTGACATTCATAATCATTATAAATTCATTCACATTCATAGCTGTATTAAACAATACCCAATTGACTATGGAATAATTAACTTGATAAATTGATTTTAAAGTTTTACCTGGTATAAAAATGAGTTTAGTAGTGCAACAAAAAAAAAAAATGTGAAAACAGAAAAGCAAGGAGTCTATGAAATAATAGACTATCTAGCTAATCATAGAACAGAACAAATCACTCAGAAACGAACCTTAGAATGTATGATAATTTAATGTGTGAAAAAGGAGGCACTTTTTATTAGCAGGGAAATATATAATTGGTCAATTAATGATAATGAGATTATTAGAAAGCTATATGAGAAGGAAAGTCTATTTAGATACTTATCACACAACAGACAACAAAGTAATTTGAGATAGAATTAAATGTAAAAACTCCAACCAGGACTTTTGTTTCACACATGCAAGATTTCATCACCATTAAGATCTCTCTAATGTTAGCCCTATATAGTCACCTCCTTCCCCCTTGCTCTACCATTCATAACCCTTGGAGATCACTAATTTATTGTTTATTTCTGTAATATTGCCATTTCATGAATGTTATATAAAAGAAATTATACAGTATGATGGTTTAAAATTGGCTTTAATTTCACTTAGCATGATGTTTTGAGATCCTCTCAAGGTATGTATATCAACAGTTTTCTCCTTTTTATTGCTGAGTAGTATTTCATGTACCACAGTTAGTTTAACCATTCACCTAGTGGTCAACATTTTAACTATTTTAATACTTACAAACATTGTTGTTGGTTTTTTTTCTACTTTCCTGTGGGCTACATGAATATTTTTTGCAACTCCATTTTATCTCTAGTGTTTTTAAATGCACCTCTTTGTATAATATTTTAGTGTTTTTAAAAACACTGGGGAATAGATACATGTTTCAGAAGGGAAATGTAACATTGATAAAGAATAAAAGAAAAAATAGAGTTGTAAATGTCATAAATTTATTCAACATACAAATTTTATCTATTTCCAATTTTTGTCCCTTCTTTCTCCCTTTCTCTGTCTTCTCTCCTGATAAGTCTTTGTTCTTCATTTTTGGAGAAGTTCATTTGATGAGGCCCATAAGTTTTCATTTTCAAGCATTTCCATGTTCAGATTCTAAACATTAAAAGGAAAGGTAGAAACATTAGGGAAATTCTGTGATCTACTAAAGGAATTTTTCATATATTAATTATAAATATTTGAACTTAATATAGTTTAATTATTTTTAATGATAAAACTGTTCTAAGTTTTAAAAAATATTTTAAAGTGGAGAATTAAAGGTCTCACAGAAAGTGATATATTGTCAAAGTTGAACTGTGTCAACCAGTCTAGAGGAAGGTCTTGCAGATCACATCTTTCATGTGGTGCTATATGGATAGTTACAGTGAAAAATTTCCTAGTATAAATTTAGAAACATTCTAGGAAGGTCATGGGCGATAACTGTATTACCACTAGGTACAGAATATAAACTAAATATTAGATGATTTGGTTATTATATATGGCAAATTATTGAATTCATCTTCAAACAAGTTATCCCAGTAATTATATTTCACTTGCATTTTTTTCTACTGAGAAATTCTATAATACATTTGAAATAATTTAATCCATAAATGATAGACCAGGAGGTTTTATAGTATGATAAGGATATATTCAAGAAGTAGCTTCATGCAGACAACAGATATTCATTTTCTTTATGTTGGCACTAGATTTTTCTATTCAGACTTTACCAGCACTGCATGGAGCACTGTACTCTTCAATGGTGAATTCCTCTGAAACACAAAAATGATGAGACAGAGAGGGTGAAGACACTGAATAATAGTCGCACATGCATTGAATTGTAAATAAACTGTATAATGTAAGCTAAGAAAGGAAGTATAAAAACAGTCATGGAGCCAATAAAAAAAGTGACTCCCTTCTGCACTAAGCCACTTGGGATTGTGGTAGAAACATGGATAAGAGAAAACTGGGCTTGGATACAGAATGGAGGGGCGGGTTTCACAGATGGAAGACTGCTCTATTTATAGAACATGGCACAGCCCTTTGTCACAGCTGTGTTTTTCTCACTGAAGTTCTTTCTCTCTGAACCTTCCCTTAATCTAAAAGGAGCAAAGTTTTTTTTTTTTATCCTCACCTGAGGACATTTTTGCAATTTTTGTACAGATAGAGTGGGAGGGGGGAGAGAGAGAGAGAGAAACATCGACGTGAAAGGGACACATCTAGTGGCTGCCACCCACACGACCGACCAGGGCCGGGGACAAACTGCAACCGAAGTACGTGCCCTTAGCGGGAACCGAACCCGGGTCTCTCCAGACCGCAGGCCGACACTCTAACCGCTGAGCCAAACCGCCCAGGGCTAAAAGGAGCAAAGTTTTAACACTACTAACATGCTGTGATGTTGGTAAGTTTTCAGTTCAAAGTTATGAGTAAATGGAAGGATTTCCTGAAGCTTCAAATTTTGTGAGACAAGCCAAGGCACAAGTCAAAAATAGATCCAATTTTTGGTCTCATATCACATATCAGTACTGAGATGTAGTTTTAAAGTTATTGCTACTCTTCAGGGAGGGAGGGGAGCGGGGAATCAGTGGGGGAAAAAGAAGAAACATCTGTAACAAAAATAAATAAATAAATTAAAAAAATAAAGTTATTGCTACTCTTTATTTCCCTGGAATAATTCAGTTCAGAGCAAACAACTTTATAGGAAAATTTAGAAGGAACTCATCCTCTTATTGTTTCAAGATCAATTTATAAGAATGGTTCTAAGGCTTGTTCGGGGAGCACATGACAGGTGCATGAACATGATTATCTGGTGGCCATAACTCACTTTTTCTTCCAGTGACAAATTGTGGAGTTTTGTTTTCATTAAGGTGACCCTTTACTAGGTTAGTCTTTTTTTTCTTCTTCAAAGTTCATCATGTTTGAATCCCACTTACCTGTCTCATAATAATCGTAAATTTTTACTGCAGCTGGTTTTAAATTCTTTATTTGGATGTCTTGATGAACCGAGAAGGAGAAACTCAGGACTTGTTTGGTTAGCTGGAGAGACAGAAAAACTGCTTTAAAACTGAAGATTAACTTAGTTACTAATTATCATCCTCTCTTCCTACGATATTATCAAACCTCATAGTTATGCTATTCATTTATAACCAAACCTATGGAAAGAATGAGACATTTTGGGACTTTTATAACACACTCAGTGACAGATAAAGGGGCAATTCTATGGCTAGTCAAATGTAGAAATTGAGCCTTGTTGACCAGTCTGGCTTCATTTCCCTACAAAGTTATTTTCTTCTCCCTCACATGTGCATGTGAGAAACACTATTTGGAATCTATACTGGTTTGTCGGAAGCTAATAGTTCTTCCAGATCTAGCAGAGTCACAGAATCCTACCTCTTCAAAGTAGATCAGGACATGGTTGGTGCTCACTTCAGTCCTTTTTATCTGAGGCATTTCTTGGAGCTGTTGATCAGGAGGATAAAATAGAGATAAAGGATGAAGAAATTTCAGGCTGAGAGTAGTTTTCAGGTATTTATAATCTAAAATGGTTGTTCAGAAATATCCAAACTGCTAATTTTGATTTATTCAGAATATATTATAATATTTCACATTTATTACATATACAGGGTGGGGCAAAAATAGGTTACAGTTGTTCATATGGAAAATAATACGATAATTAATAAATAATAATACAAGTTTCACACTCATAACTGTAAACCTACTTTTGCCCTACCCTGTATGCATATACATATATATAATATATTCTCTCTTTTTCTTTTTATATATAGTTGGAATATAATTCAATATCATTCCATATATCCCTAGGGCCTGCTGGAACATTATTAATCACATTTATGAAATATGCCTTGTACTTGGTACCATATAAAAATGATACCCACTATTAAAATGATGGAAACACTCTAGAGAAGCAAGTATGAGGGAGTAAACCTCTTAAACACTGAATTAATAAAAGAAAGTTGATAAGCATAAATGGCAACATTTATCATGACTCTGCTGTCTGCAAGGACTTAAGGTTTACCTTTTTCACTGATGGTTTCACAGGTATGAAGCCAGATATCATCTTTACATCAACAATGACCATGTTAGAGCTGGGTCGTTCCCCCGTATAACTATGGAGTCAAGGCACAAGGAGAAAGCATTCAAATAAAATTCTTTGGAACTCATTCAAGATAGAAATCATTCCTTCTCATTTATTTCTAGTATTCCCTTTTCCTAGCAACCAATCAGCTTCTCCATCTATTCTATTTGCTTCTGCTATGGTTGTTTGGAAAACTCATCTTTATGAAATTGTACTCTGCAGGTATGGCAACATTATATTCTCAATGTTAAGACTTTTCAGTAAGAGTGAAGAATATTTTCTTGTCATTAAATATTGCAAGAATTTAATCTTCATTATGTGTGACTTTGAAAATCAATTTTGTCATATTCTACAAAAGTTCAGGTAGTGATTTAGGATTTACCTAATGTTGACGTGAATCTGGAATTTCCTGTGGGCGTCTACTCCATCGCAGTTCTTGGGGACAGTATCAACATTCAGAGTGAAGGGAAGTTTCCCTTCTTTCTTGGGCAGGATGTTATATCTCAGGGATGTCTAAAGGAAATTAATAAAAGATCTTTTATTTTTGCATGCAAATAATCTATTTCATCTAGGTGATTCATACTTTCCCTTAATACACATTTTTTTTTCTATTTTGAAATTCAAATCTAATTCTTGAGACTTTCCCCCCCATTTGTAGCACCCCCGAAATCCTGGCAGTCTCACCTGAAGATACACACATCCTGACCCTGACACTGTTGTGCTGTACTCCCCTGGAACCTCTGGCAATGCAACCTCTTGCAGCAATAGGCGATTGGAATCATCTACTTGAAATTCTTCTGAGAAGGTCTCTGAAGACTTGACAGTGACTATGGCTGCTTTCTCCCTTTTAGAGAAAGTTGCTGCTCCATATTTGGAGAGGGCTTGAAGAGCCACTACTGTGTCCTGGGGGGAAATGAAGAAGTTTCATCATTCACGTAGCTTGTAATATATGTAGGAAATAATATTTGACACAAAGCAGTGGCTATTTAACAATTTTATAAATTAAAAAATTTTTTTCTTTATTTTAGAGAGGGAGGGAGGGAGAGAGAGAGAGAGAGAAACATTGGTGGGGGAGAATATCAATTGGTCACCTCTTGCATGCCTCCCACTGGGGATTGGGCCCACAACCTGGGCATGTGCCCTGACTGGGAACTGAACCAGCGACCTCTTGCTTCATGGGTCGGTGCTCAACCACTGAGTCACAGTGGCTGGGCAAAAATTTATACATTTATATAATAATATTTATTGTAAAACTTTAGAGAAGGTTAAAGAAATTGGAGCTAAAATAGTAACAGAAGGTGAGAAATATCATTTTTGAATAATGAGAAAAGTTTCTATAGACAGAATAGAGACATTAGGGAGTGTCAGGTGTGGGAAATGTTTTAAACAAAGACACAGAAAAGGGAGAGAGCCGATTTCAGAAGGAGTGAAAGGATTAGCCTAATTAGACAGAAATATTCATGTTTACTGGGGAGAGGAAATATTTTGGGTAAAATATTACATAATTTTAGTCTTTGGATGAAAACTATGTTAACAGGATAGTAATCTTATGAAAACACTGCTTTAGGAAGATTAGTGTACTTTACAGTTGAGAATCACTAAGGAGCAAAGATACAGGACTGTATAGAGGACAGAGCAATAATCCATATATAAAATAATGTGGCTGGAACCTTTGTGATGATGGAGAAATGAAGAAAGTATGAATTAGAAACACTACTCAATTATTCAACTCTTAGAATATGGTTGTGTCAACATATGTATTCATGTATTTGGTTTCCCCTTCTAGAATCTCTCCACAGACCTGAGTGGAAGAGAAGCCCCCATTGGGGTTTTGTTGCTTGGTGATCCATTTCACAATACGTGAGGCTTTAGACAGATCTTCTGAAGATGGGGTAGGGTAGGCGGTAAGATAGGCAAGGAGCAAGTAGGATGTCATCTCCACTTCAGCAGAAGGAGCCCGGGGTTGATAAGAGAATGCTTTAACTTCTTGAAGTTTCCCAGGACGTTCCCAATGGATTGAGTCCTCTTTGACATGGAAGAAGACACAATCATAAGCTTAGAGAATGGTTTCAAAACCTAATTTATGACATCATTATAATTAGAACTCATTGACATGAATTGATGTAAATGAAGTAAAAATATTAAGTAATCACCAATCCAGCAAATCTTTGCCAAGAGAGTAAATTAAGGTTTCAGCAAATCCTATTGTGTCTTTCTGTTTATTACATACTTGAATGATATTAGCAGTTGGGTTGCATAGAGTCAGTACAGTGTAAATTGGTAAAATGATTCATGTTACCAGGAGAATTTTTTGATCAATGATAATTATTCTTATTATTAATATAATAAATATATAATATAATATGGCATGATAGTTGTGAGTTCAATAGGTCCTCTCCCTTCTTGTCATCACTGGTGATTTTGGGAAGTAAATTTTGTAGTAGTAGTTCTTACCTTCTTTCACAGCCTCTTTGTCCAGTGATTGAAGCAGTTCTCTTCGCTTGGCCTGATTTCCTGCTAGGGCAAAGGCATAGGCCAATAATGCCTTGGTATAGACAAGACTTTCTTGGGCTTCTGAAATGGATGCCCATGCCCATTCCAGGCAGACTAGAGCACTGTGGACAATTGGGTGCTATAAAGAAGATGAAAAGACATTGTAAGATAGCAGAACCAGGCTAATGAACTGTCCCCAGTCTAACTCCTGATTAGAAGCCCAATGTGCCTGTGCAACCTCACAGCTAGAACCAGAAAATAATTTCCTCTGCAGCTTCCAAAAAGATGTAGTCCTTTGTGTTCCTGTGAAATATACCAAAATTAAATAATACAAAAACTACAACTCGTTTCCTCAAAGATTGAGAGTTTCATGATTTTTTTTTTTTTCTTACACTTGTGAGAGGTATGTACTGGGGATGTGCTGGTACATACAGTGACAGGCAGTCGCATCTCCAGCAGAGCAATGGTGATGTAGGCAGAGAGCGTCACCTCATCATCTACTCCACCCTGTAAGGATCAGAGGCAGAGATGCTTAAACACTCCAATATTCATCAGCCAGAGGCAGCTAACTTGACATTTATCCTTGGGCATCTTCAGTAAAAAACATATTTTCTTGAGAGTGTTGTTAGTGATTTTTTTCCTTCTTCCTCCACCGTAAAATTCTTGAATCTGTCCCAAATCCATTTCCCTCGCTTTTAATAATACATTGGGGTATTTTTTTCTTTATTGATTTGAGAGAGAGAGAGAGAGAGAGAGAGAGAGAGAGAGAGAGAGAGAGAGAGAGAGAGAGAGAGAGAGAAATATCGTTGGGAGAGAACATTGACTGGCTGCCTCTTGTATGCCCCCACTGGGGATTTGGTCCACAACCTGGGCATGTGCCCTGACTGGTAATCGAACCAGCGACCTCGTGTTGCATGGGTCGATGCTCAACCACTGAGCCACACTGGCCAGGTATTGGGATATTTTTGCACACTATTTTTATTCAATAAAAAAAATTGTTAATTGCTAGATTTCAGAAGCTTTAAAGTCTACCATCCTCCCTCAAAACTATGTCACCAGAACTTGAGGAATCAATAGAAGGATCATTGCTCTGATATATCACCAGTTTTAGGAACCGGAACAATGTTAAATGTATTACCTTAATCGCATTGTTTAACAGTGATCCAGAGCGTAGGAAACAGCCATTTCTCTTTTGCCTCTGTGAGAGCCAGAGGAAGGAACTGGTGATGTGTGAGTCCTCCACAAAGATGTATGACCGGGCTTGAGAAAAGGACTTAAGCACAAATGCAGTGAGCCTGTCCAGCAAAGAAGAAACTCAGTCATGAGGACAAGCTCACTTTGTGCACTGCCTCAAGACACTAATTTGCATAATTCAGTGAAGGAAATTATATGAAGTTATGATTTTCATAATTCAGTAGGGGAAATGATACTAGAATACTGAATATTCTCTTGTTTGTCCAACAAGTATCTGAGTCTCTTTTGTAAATCTGTCAATTTTATTGGTTTCTCCAGAGTTGATACTTTTCCTTTTTTTTTAATCTCATGAAGTATTTGTTGGAACTTCCAGGCCTTCCTACCACCAAAACTTCCATTTTCTGAATGATTTTATTACAGCACAATCTCCTTCTGTCTTTTCTAGGCTCCCCTTTCTTATTGTATAATGTAGAAGCTTCTTTCTTGATCGTTTCACATTAGGACACTTTCTGCCTTATATTTCCATTTTATGGGATCCTTATTTTACTGCTATCTACTGTGCTATCAGAGCAGGTGAGCTTTCATAGATGAATGGTGAGATCACCCATACGGATTTTTAAAGGATAACAAATTTCCATAAAAGAACTTCAATCAGAGAATAACTATTTTCATAATTCTGAAATATGGATCTACAAAGAGCATATGGACATCATTATCTTACCAAGTGTTTCCTTGACTTGTACCTCCACGATCCCCAAAGGTGCTGTATGAACCATCGTTATGCTTATAATTCAACTGTCTTTGGTACCCTGAAGAAGAAATTTTTCATAGATTTATGAAAGAGCAGATACATTGGATTATTAAACAGTTTTTTTTCTTAATACCTGTTGAGGAGTCATAGGGACACTGCTATTTTATTAAGATATCTCCAAGACTTGGTCATACCATTGAATTTTCTGATTGGGTCATTTTATTGGATATCATCACAACAGTAATTATAAAATCTTAACCAAAGGGATACTGATATGCATTCACAGAAGGAGATATTTAGGGATTCAGTTAACATTTCTCCTTTTGGGTAATCTCTTACCACTGATGAGGTGGCTGATGGCTTTAGACTTGATATTCTCTGTCAGCTGTCGTGTCTCACTCAGATAGTTCAAAACATAGATGTTAGGGACAAAAAGAATCATATTCTGCTCTCCACAACCATAGGGCATCTGGAGAAGATTCTGAAGGTTTTTCATTGCAGATCCTAGTATATCACCTGGGGAATAAAAGGTATAGAAAAATCAGAGGAACTCAGAGTTAGTTTGTGTTGGAATAGTAAGATAGACACCAGCTAACTGAGAGGTCAACTTACTTATAGAAGGGAGGACAAGAAAGCATAGGAGGCAAATAAATACAAAACAGAAAGAAAAGAGAAAAGTAGGAAAAATAAAGTAGATGGTTCAAGGATTAAAACAAACAAACAAACAAACAAACAAACAAAACTGATTGGCAGGATACATCTTTTTTGATGAGTGACATGTCTGGTAAAAACCAACTATATTCAAATATATGGGGAAGCATTACCACATACTCAAGTCTTTGAATATGAAGACACAGAGAGGTGACCCTTCTTACTTTTTAGAGTATATCAAGATATATGTTACAACATCTATTCAACCCCTTTTCTGATGAATACACAGTGCAATCTTTAGCTTAGTGTTCTTTCTCTCAATTCAGTGACTTGAGTCAGTGATCTCATTAACCTTGGATGGTGAGATAGACAGCTGCTTCCTTTGGGCTGGGAGACTTACCCAAGACCGAATATGTTGCTCTGGCAGATCCTTCAACCACATTTGAAGGAACTTTCAGTGACAGCTTTTCAGGTACTCCAGTTTCTAATGAAAGAAGACAAATATATATACATATATAAGGGAGGGAAAAAAACAAACACGAGAGAAATGTTCTATTTTTGTTTGAATATTTTTTCTCTATACAATCAAGATCCAACCTATCATTTCTCTTGGTTTTTATATAATTTCTTTGATGCAATCCATGTTTCTCCTAAAGCCATGATTCATATCATAGTGTAGCTCCTATTAATCATATATATATGTACTAAATTCCTATTAATCATATATATACATATGTGTGTGTGTGTGTATATATATATATATATATATATATATATATATATATTTGCACTAAATTTCTATGGATTTCCTATGTGTATACTTTATGGCACACTTATTTTCTTCTCGTCATTGTTTATGTTAATTTCCAATATTGTTAGTTTTTTTAAAGATCACATTTAGTCCCTAAATATGTATAAAGTGTGTGCTATGTATAGGTTATATTTTAAGTGCAATGATATAGCAATTAAAAAAAATTGTTTTTAATTGATTTTAGAGAGAGAGGAAGGGAAAGGGAGAGAGCGAGACAGAAACATCGATGAGAGAGAACATCGAGTGGCTGCTTCCTGCATGCCCCCAATTAGGGATCGGGCCCACAACCTGGGCATGTGCCCTGACCAGGAATTGAACCAGCGACCCCTTGGTGCATGGGTAGGCACTTAACCACTGAGCCACACCAGCCAGACAGTGATATAGCAATTTTTAAAACAAATGTCCTGACTTCCCGGAATTTTCATTTTAATGAGAGTAATAAGATAACAAATCAATGTTTAGAATAATAGATGTTAAGTTTTATAGAGAAAATTAAAGCAGAGGAAGTGTTTACATAGGTGAGCTAATAAGAAAAGGCAAATCAGGAAGTGCAGGGTGTGGGGAGAGGGCTCCCTACTACAAAGCTCTTTGGTAAAAAATCATAGGTGACTTGAGACTTTCAGTAAGTCAGGGAGTAAGATTTATAGATATCTGGGGAAGAGACTTCTAGGAAAAAGGAACAAAAAGTGCAAAGACTCCAGAAATTAGAGCATGCCGGATGTGCTCCAAGAGCAGATTAAACCTAAATTTCTTCTTAAAATTATTGTTTAAATAAAAAATATGAGTACATTAAAACTACCAGTTGAATAATAAATGTACTAATACACAGATATTTCAGTATTTTTGAAAATAGTTTAGAGAGAAGTTTGGGAAGCAATTCTGTATTGGAAGGGATCCTTTCCCACACTCATCAGCTTTTGCCCTTATTATTAGCCAAGATCTTTTAACTTCTCTGTGTCTTCATCTAGAAAAGGTTGTTCTTTATCAAATATCCTTAGATTTGTACATGGAAAAGCATACAACATTTCCTCCTTAGGACAACATGCCCCAAAGGGCATTTTATAACCACATAATTTGGCAAAGTGGCAGAATATGAATATTTTGTCTATTTTTGACACTTACCTACTGCACAGAGAAGTGTGTTGAAAGTTTCCTCCTTTTCTATTCCTTCAGGCTTTATATTGAAAAAAAGAATCAAGAAATGAAGTGACACAAAATCAGTCACTCTTAAGTACAGGAGAAAATGTTAGTAAAAAATTGAATTGTGAATATATCCATATTTGGGGGGATTAAATGTCCCATATACATATTAGATAATGCTTTTTTATATAATAAGGCCTCTGAGAAATTATACTTACATACCTCAACTAGTAAGGGCTTGACTATCGTATCTTTCTGTTTAAGCATTGGGACTCGAGGCACCTCATTGTTGCACAATTCCTGAGACTGCAGGGCTTCCGCAGTAGCTGTGAAATTCACCTTTCCTGAGGAATAAGATTCTTAAGGAGTTAACACAGCAATTCTATATTGAATGTTTTTTCTTTTTGAATTTCCCCAATATACATAATGGTTTTCTTTCAAACGATCATTGTTAGAGGAAAAAAATAAACATATTTAGGTCAGAGAGAAAAGCAAATCATTACTACTCACCCAGTGACTTGAGGGTCACAGCCCAGGACACAGTTTTCCGCCCATTTTCACAGACACAGTGAGATTCTTTATTCTGCTTTACTGGGACAGCCAAGAAGGCAGGAGAGTCCTCCAGCTCCACACTGACCTGTCCACCATACACACCCACAGGTTTGAGAAAGAACACAGGCGGAGGGTCAGAAATAGGAAACTGAAACTCAAAGGGACCAGGCACACTAATCAATAGGCAGTAAGGAATTGTTCAGAGTGAATCCTGTCAGATACTTGGTTGTTTAGAGGTTTGCAATAAGAGAATTGAAAAACTGACAAGAATTAGAACACATGCCCAGGATTTAGGCTTGTGCCAACACAAGGAAGAGATATTTTTCTCGGTCAGAGTGAAAAAATGAAGTAATCAGGTGGGAATTATATTTGAAATTAGGAATACACAGATAATATAGAACCACAGATGAACATAACCATACCACCTTGGACATGTCAGATAGTTTTGCTCTAAGTAATTATTCCCTTCCAAAATTAAGTTATATCATACTCAGTTATGATTTACAGGGAGATTGCCTAGGAGACCTAGGTAGTGAATGGTGACTGTGCTCCTTTCTTCGACCTTTGCTCACCTCTAGAGAAGTGACCTTACCCGAATGCAGTGGGACAAGTAGTTGAACACAGTGGCTTTGAGTGTAAAGGCTTCTCCTCGCACCACGGAGTAGGGGAGGGTGAGCTCTAGGAAGAAGGGCTGGAAGACTCGAAGAGACATGATGGGGGAGAGGCCAAGCCCTGTTGTTCCAGACAAGCAGAGTGCACTGGCCTTCCACTCCGTGATGGTGTCAGGGACCTTTATTGCCAACTCACTGCTACCTGATAAACTAATAAACAGAAAAAGAGGAGGAAAGTGAATAAATAACCCTCTGCCCTTTTTTTTTGGTATGGACCATAACTGATCTTAAAGCATGACAACTCAGTAACCTAGTGTGGCAAACATTAAACTTTATATAAGGTTGGTCACTGTAAATGAAGTCTCTGAAAGTTTTTCTTTTCTTTCTTTTTTTTTTTTAATCCTCACCCAAGGACATTTTTTTCATATTTGTTCAGATGGGGGGGGGGGAGGGGGGAGAGAGAGAAACATCAACTTGAAAGGGACACATTGAGTGGCTGCCACCCACATGACCCAACCAAGGCCGGGGACAAACTGCAACTGAGGTACGTTCTTAGCAGGAACTGAACCCGGGTCTCTCTGGACCGCAGGCCGACACTCTAACTGCTGAGCCAAACCGGCCAGGGCATTTTTCTTTTTAAGGGCAAGACTAAGCTTCCTGCTTTCTATTATTTTAGATACCGCAAGACCAAATTAGAAAAAAAAATTGCATTATTTCACCATCAGGTAAATGAACAAGGAACCTACATATTTGCCAGAAAGGAGTGTAGAAGAAATGAAAGGATCAGACACAGAGGATAACAGCAGAATCACAAAGGAGAATTCAAATCTTCACCTAAACTAAAATCCATGCAACAGGTAACTTACGAGAGTGGCACCAAGTCCCAGATCCAGGTCTCAGGGAAGTAATTCCGGACTGTCTCTTTTACAACTTCTGTGATCATCATTGGCTGACTGATACCAGCAGCTCCTACAGGTAAGACTGGTGGAACCCCTGCAAATGCACTTCCTGGAACCCCTGCAAATCCACCTGGTACAACCCCTATGAAAGGAAACATTCAGGGCCCAATGTAAAACTCATTGTTATCATTAATTTTTTCTAGTTGCCTTACTTATCTATTAGAATAAGGCCAGTTGCTCAGGGAATGTTTATTATTGAAACAATTTAACCTACCATCTTGTTATTTATATAGGAAGGCTAATCCTATTACTTATTCAGTCTAGAGGTAAATGTACTTTTCTCTAAAAACAAAAATAAATGTAGCTCTCCTTCAGCTGATTATTCAACTGGTAGAGAGAAGAATAAAGAGTAATTTAATATGTCAAATATTGCTTTTATATTGATGTGATGATCATGTGTTCTCCATTTTCAGTGAGACTCAAACTAGAGAAATAGATAGTAGCTATCGCAAGAGGATTTTAAGAATTATTTTTTATTTAACAGAACATGAGATATGGAGACCTAAAAAATAGGATGTAGTACATCCTATTATAGATGTGTGTGCTATAGACAACAGACACTCAATAAAGGACAGAAAATAAGCTTTAGATTGTCCAGAAAAGACTTTTCCAAAGTAGACTTTAAGATGATCATTGAAGGATGAGAAACAGGAGAATGGAGAAGGCATTTCAAGGGAATGGTGATCTGAGAGTACACACAGAAATTGAAAGGGGTGCTCCCAAAAACTTACCTCTCTGGAGCAGAATGTCTATTTTGGGAGTGTGTTTAACAAAGCTGAGTAAATAGTAGGTGTAATTATGTAATAAAATACCATGAAGACTAAGACAAAAAAATTAGATCTATTAAGGAAGAAGTTTAATTAAAAAAACTTACTCCAGAGATCAGAAGATGCATAGTGACTATGAGAAATAAATGACATGAAAAAAGCAGTGTTTAAGGGTGATATACTTTTCACTGTAGATGGGACAGATTAATGTGGAGAAAGACTGGAGGCAAGGAAGGTAAATTAGTGTGGTTTTTAAGTAATAATGTGGTTATGAATAACAATGGACAGGACTAAGGTGGTGTAACTGAAACTGAAAGAATAAATAGATGACAAATATCAAATGCAAAATTTGTATAGAGTATTGCAGAATATCTGGGGTAAGAATATAATGATGGTACTTTGATTTTAGGTTTGCTGGATCATTTCATCAGCATATTTTTATTTTAGAATTAGAAAAAATTATATAGTTTATTTTAAAAGTGATATCAAAATAAAGTAATAGTTTTTTAAGTTTTTCTTAACAAAGAACATGCTATTACATGGAATCATAATTATATTATTTCATTTTATGCTAACACCTCAGTGACTTTGGTGTTGTAATTCTGACATTAGATATGAAGAAATTGAGCTTCCAAGAGGTTAAGTGAGTCTTCACATTTTATTTTTTTTACTTTTTAAATCTATATTGTTGAAAGTATTACAGATGTCCTTCCTTTTCTTCCCCATTGACTCCCTCCTCTCTGCTCCCACCCCCCTCCTGCTTTCCCCAAACTACTGTCTCTGTCCATTGGTTATGCACATATGCATATAAGTTCTTTGGTTTATCTCTTTCTACCCCTGTCACTCCCCAGCCCTCTGAGGTTTGCCAGTCTGTTCCCTATTTCCATGTCTCTGGATCTATTTTTATCAACAGATTATTTTGTTCATGATGTTTCATAAATAAGTGAGATCATGTGGTACTTGTCTTTCTCTGACTGGCTTATTTTGCTCATCAAATACTCTCCAGGTCCATTTATATTGTCTCAAAGGGTAAGAGATCTTACAGCTGCATAGTATTCTATTGTGTAAATGTACCACAGCTTTTTTCAAATGTACCATTCACTCATCCATCTACTGATGGACACTTGGGTTGTTTCTAGATCTTAGTTATTGTAAATAGTGCTGCTATGAACACAGGGGTGCATATATTCTTTCTGATTGGTGTTTCAGGCTTCTTAGGATATATTCCTAGAGAGTCTTCACATTTTAAGGTCACATACATCATACCAGAGAGGGATATGCTCTCAGCACAGTGTTGTTTTTCACTATAGAGAATTTTCTTTCTGTTGAATATTTTCATTCACTTTTCTGTTTTCAACTAGAACTTTATTCCTTGTCTTCCCAGGTAAATAACTCCTACTATTTTTTTTTAATCCTCACCTGAGGATATTTTTCCATTTATCATCAGCTAGAGTGGGAGGGAGGGAGAGAGAGGAAGAGAGAGAAACATCGATGTGAGAGAGACACCTCGACTGGTTGCCTCCCCTATGACCCAACCAGGGCTGGGATGAACAGCAACCGAGGTATGTGCCCTTGACCGGAATTCAATTTGCAACTCATTGGTCTGCTGGCTGACGCTCTAACTGCTGAGCCAAACTGGCCATGGCAATAATTTTTACTTTTTAAAAATATGTGTTTATTTTATTAAAAAATCACTTTATACCACCACATTTCTTATTAGAAAGTAGTATTAGTAGACATCCAAGCATGCAGAGAGAAAATTTTCTAGATCTGATAGCTAGAGAAAAGAATTCTCAGTGTTGGAATCTTTAAAAATTTTCCTCATTTCCAGGTATACTTGAAACACACCAAGAGATTAATAGGATATCTGTCAAAAGATGCATTATTCTATCTCGTTCAATATATAAAAATCACTTTGATTTTCATAAAAGAATATGACAGGGTCAATTAATAACCATATGCTCCTGTACATTTCTCTGCCTCCCTTGTGCATGTGATACATGTTACTTCCACCACTGGCCATAAAAGTCATGTGCAAACCTGTATCTCTTACCCATAGTAGTAACATTGAAAGATACATTGGAGAAGATGGAGTTGCAAGTTAAAATCAGAATGAATGGCTTTGATTCATGATTGGTAGGGAGTTGTTCCAGAGAGCTATTGGACTTACAGCAGTTTTTGTGTAAAAGAAAAACAAAAACCCACCAAACCTGTTATATGCTTAGTCACTGATATGTAGGGGTTTGTTTGTTACTGCAGTAAAACCTAGCTTATCCTGATTAATTTAGGTATTGAATTCCCAGTGGATAAAAAGAATTTGAAGAAGCAGGACTATTAAAGGCCAGAAATTAGTCAATTTTGATTTGAGAGAAAGAGAGAGAGAGAGAGAGAAAGAGAGAGAGAGAGAGAAACAATAATTGCCTTTAAAAGTCTTATTTGTTAGGGGGGAAATGTTAATTAAAGAAAATGTACAAAGAAGTTGCTGTAGAGTCACAACATTCAATACTTACAAAAATAGTTTTATCCCAATCCAACCTAGCAAAGTATTATTTTTCTTTTTTCTATTTTCTATTGTTTTATTTTATTTTTTTGTTTTGTTTTTTAATCCTCACCTGACGATATTTTTCTATTTATCTTCAGATAGAGTGGGAGGGAGGGAGAGAGAGGAAGAGAAAGAGAAACATCGACATGAGAGGGACACATTGGCTGGCTGCCTTCTGCACGACCCTGTCCAGGGCCAGGGATGAACCGCAACCAAGGTTTGTGCCCTTGACTGAAATCGAACCTACAACTCTTTGGTCTGGGGACTGACGCTCTAACCACTGAACCAAACTGGCCAGGGCAATTTTTTCTAATGTTTTATAATAGCAATATGACATAATAATATTTTCTATTATTCTAGCAGAGAAATAAATCTCACCTCCAATACCCGAATAAGAGCCCACAGGCGCTGATGCATATACCAAAGGCGGATAACAAAAATTTGGTTTGTTGATTTTTGAGTTGGTAAAAATATTTAATCCTGCAGACTGGAAGAAAATTAATTATTAGAGCATATTGGCAATCCAATTTTAAGACTGGAATATTTTCTTACATTTGTATTATACTTTCACTGTTATTATACATATAACTCATAGGACTGTGAAAATTCTACACAATAGAGAAGAGAGCTATTTTATGAATATAAAAATAGAATCACAGAAACTCTAGTTTAGGGAGAACGAAGTAAGAAATAAATGTTTAGGTGAGAAGGGTGAAGGGATTAGCAAAGAAAAAAAAGACTCATGGACACAGACAACAGTATGATAACTGCCGGAGCAAAGGGGGGATGGGAGGAGCTAGAAGAAGGTAAAGGGCAGATAAATGGTGATGGAAGGAGACTCGACTTGGGGTGGTGAACATACAATACAATATACAGATGAGGTATTGTAGAATTGAAACCTATATAATTTTATTAACCAATGTCATTCCAATAAATTCAATAAAAAAATTAACCAACCAACCAACTGAACAAACAAAAAAGAAGTAAATGTTTAAAGATGAAACAGAGACTTAATCAACCTAGAGTCGTCTTTCTGTGCTACCACCACCAATGGGTTTATGACTCTGAAAATTAAGAAGGGGGAGGCCTCAATTGCTCTCAGCTAGGCTGCAGACCTCTGTTGGAAGATTTACATAGATTTTATTCAAGGTACAATGAGACTTTTTATTCTGTTTTGGTGGTGATCAGATTTAGTCTCACAACCTGGATAAACTTCCTTTTCATAACTCTACCTAGTTATACTTAATTCCAAAGATACACAGTTTATCTAACATACCTAAAGCATGCTAATATCTCTACCCCAAGCATTGTAAATATTTTCTTTATGAAAGGCTACTTTCAGTCTCCTGAAATTTTACTGCTTGGAGAGAGATGGCTCAATGATTGTACTTTGTGCATTCAGTCATCCAACATTTATTTATTGTGCCAATGACAATTATATTGGCTGCCAGTGAGGTGCTCACCTTTCCAGAGATATCAGAGGCAGTATAGAAAATGTTTTTTTTTCACATATTAGAATCTCTGCAAATCACTGAGAGGGGCATATGACAGTGGTAACTAGCTTTGAGATCAACTTAATTAAGGTTGTAGGCCTTAAAAGTATCCCACTTGCTATTTAAAGTGCCAGAGAAATTCATAATTAAATATCTGTATGTATACAAAGTTAGCTATGTGTCTGAGGTCTTCATGTTTATCTGTGAATCGTAGTTTTGTTTGGGGAAGGAGGCAGGGGCAGGGGCAGGATCAGATTCTAGAGCTTACAAAGACATAGAAGTCAATTTGGTTATGTTTTTAGGAGGAAGAATTACCTCAAACATACTGTAAACATTATCATCCAGAGGTTGCTTTGGTGTGTAAAGCATTCCGTTGTGAATGATGTCTTTTGCAACTGTGCATTCTGCAGGGTTGACATGAATGAAACCTGTATGCGGACTGTTCAAGTCATTCTTTACCGGTAACAAACTATAGACCTGCAAAATCGAGAAAAGAAAGAAAACACCCTTGTAGTTTTTTTTTTTTTTTCTTATTTTACATGGGATAATGTTAAATCTGGTATTTAAAAGATCATAGTGTTTAGCAATCTCATGTTAACATTATAAAAGGCAACACAGGGAATCATGGAGAGATATTAAAGGTTACAGACCCTAAGCCTCTTGTTGTACAAAAGAAATTGATATAGAAAGAAATAAAATTGATTGATTAAAGTCTCAGAGCCCAGTTTGGTTGTGTAACAATAAAACCCAAGTCACCTGTCTCCCAGCCCTTATGCCTACTTTCATTTTATTTTATTTTTTATTATTGATTTTTTTAGAGAGAGAGGAAGAGAGAGGTAGAAACATCAAGGTGAGAGAGAAACATTGATTGGCTGCCCCTTGCATGCCCCCCAGTGGGGATTGAGCACACAACCTGGGCATGTACCCTGACAAGGAATTGAACTGGGACTTCTCAGTCCATGAGAAATGCTCAATCCACTGAGCTACACAAGCAGGGCCCAAATGCCTACTTCTAAAACAAAGCAGAGAACGTGCCTCGTACAAAGAAGTAAACGAGAACAAAAGCTATTTATAATCCTGTCATTCAGGAATAAACTCTGTAAATACTTGACTTATATCCTTTTTCCACGTTATATGATTAAGTTCTTATCAATTTTTTGTTTTGTTTTTCAGGAGGAAATACTTATCAAGTTTGAAAAAAAATTTTTTTTTTCAAGTTTATCATTTTAGGACCATGCTTAGCTTAAAAAAACAAAAACAGAAACAAACAAAAAAACTAGGTACAGTTTTTTCTTTGGAATAAATCAATTTCAGTTCAGCTTTTGCCCCAAATAAGGCCACTTTCACAGTCACATAGTGTTTAGGCCATTGAACACACACTGTGCTCTATGCAGACCTCCTAATTTGGTTGCTGTCATTTCTTTCTTTCCTTTTTTTTTTTTTTAAATCTGATAATTTTTTATTTTTGTTTATTTATTTTTAAATTAATTTTTATTTAATTAATTATTTTTTGTTACAGATGCTTCTCCTTTTCCCCCCATTGACTCCTTCCTCTTGTTCCTTCCCCCGACCCCCCGCATTGTTGTCTATGTCCCTTGGTTAGCTTATATGCATCAGTTCTTTGGTTTATCTCTTCCCTCCCCCACCCCCTCCTCTGAAGTTTGTCATTCTGAACCCTACTTCTGTGTCTCTGGGTCTCTTTTGTTGATCACCTTATTTTGTTCATTATATTCTACAAATAAGTGAGATCATGTGATACTGTCATTTCTTACCTGAACTATGACAATAACCTCTTAACTATTTTATGTTCATTCATTCTTGTTTTCATATGTTCAGCAGCAAACAGGTTCCTCTTAATAGATAAATCTAAATTGTCACTCCCCTGCATAGAACTTCTCAGTAATTTAGCATTGCATTTATCGTCAACTCCAAACTTTATTCCAAGTCAGCAGTTCTCAACCTGTGGGTCGTGACCCCTTTGGGGGTCGAACGACCCTTTCACAGGGGTTGCCTAAGACATAACAGTAGCAAAATTACAGTTATGAAGTAGCAATGAAAATAATTTTATGGGTGGGGGTCACCACAACATGAGGAACTGTATTAAAGGGTCATGGCATTAGGAAGGTTGAGAACCACTGTTCCAAGTTAATAGAGCTTGTCATACTCTTCCTTACTTTCCATTCTACCTATGGCCTTAACCATCCTCTTCTGTTACTATATATTGAGTCATTACCTTACCCTTTTTTAGAACACTCTATACTTACACTCTTTCTGACCTCACACCTTCAGGCATACTGCTTTCAATCATTGTAATGCCTGCCCCTGTTACTCCATTACCTGACAATATAAGAAGACACCCCTAATCAATATATCAAAAATTTCTGAACTCTTTTATTTGTTATCTCAACATCCTTTTTATTCCTTTTATTACACTTATCAAAACTGGGAATGACTATATGTTTTTGTAGTTTATTTGTTTGTTTATCCTAATATGTCACTAGACTCTAAATCTGAAATGGTCCTAGACCACAAATGATTGTTCACCATTAGAACTCCTATTTATAGAGCAGTATCCATCCTATAGTCAAGATGTCATGAATATTTGTTAAACAACCGAGTGTACCATGAAGCCTGTAAACTATAGAACCCCTTTGAAAATGCTTTAGTGTAACAGATGTCTTTAAAAGACAAGTTTGAGTGGAAACTCTCTTTTGCTTATAATTAAAACCAGTGAGTAAGAGCCTGGATTTTGAAGAAAGCTTAAAAATCTGGCATTTCACATACTACTTTGAAATGTGGTGCAGAAGTGACATTAAATGAAATTTGGTTCAAGTTCCATCTTTAAAATATATTTTTGGCATGCTCTTTTGATATTTGCTTAGTCTATCCTAGGTGTGTTTTTTCATTTATAAAATTGAGGTAATAATACCCACCTTAATGAATCATTAATTCATTACTTAAAATGTGTTGAGCATCTTTTATATATAAGGTACTGTGCTAGACACAGGGATTGTAGTGGTGAGCAAGATGGTTCCTTCACTGAATATATTAAAACAGAGAGTGAAATGAGATGATATATCAGCATCTTGTGCAATGTCTTTTATGGGACAGAACTGAATTTCAACTCATACATAACAATACATTATGCCTAATGTGCTGAAGAACTCTTCCTTTGTAATTATAACTTTCAACTTTCAAAAATGGTCTTATTATAGGTGCATTTTGTAATATTCAAGACTGAAATAAGACTCACTGATTGAGGGGAGAGCTCAGCTTCAGGCTTCATTAGCAGCACACTCTGGTCCACTGCATGAAGGGCGCAAAGGGACTGAGGAGTAGCTGTGATCTTCAGGTTGATGTCTGAGGCTGGCAGGCTCTTGGCTGAGGAGAATCTCAAATTTACCTGTCAAGAGAATATGATTGTAGCAGAAAACTTTCTATTAACAATCTCAACATTCTCGTCTACTCCAGCTAGGTCTAGTAAAAGAACACTTCCTTTCTCTTCATCTATTTTAGAGTAGGATTAAGAGGAGAATCTACCTAGGGATGACCTGGGAACCATCTCTGGAATAAACTGAAAATGTGGTTCCAGTGAACTCAGCTTCCCACTCCTTATATAACTGGCGAAATATAAATTGGTTTTAATCACAATGAAATCAAGACCTAAATGGCAATGAAAACACACATGCTAACAAAGATACATACCTTGTAGCTGACCCAGTTCCATGCAGTGTTTTTGTGATGAATGTGTGCATTTTGCATGGTGTTGGGGGAAAAGAAAAAATCACACTTTAAAATCACCCAAGTCTCCTCTGGTTGGCAGTTTTAGTTATCTGACATTCGAAAGAAGTGTAGTAATGTTGTAAGAATCAGAAGTTTACTGGGTCTTAAAAATTAAACATCTAATATGCATCCTAAGAGTTAATTGGTTGAGAAAATTTAAAGAACTACAAATAAAAAATACAAATTAAAAAATAATGAAAAATTATGCACAATTTTTTTCAGAGATTTGATTCTACTCTGGCCAGTAGCAATTCATTGGTAAGTGAAGCTATTGGTTCCTTATGTTCGTGTAAACATTTCTTGAATAAAATCCGAGTTTCATCTTATAGTCAAAACATAAAATAATTTAGAATTAAGTTACTGTAGAAGCATCAGGTTCTTGAACTGAAAGCTAATTTGCATTGGAGTAGAAAGTCCATGTGTTTACTAACATATTTGACTTAGATTGCTGAATTTAACTATGTAATCCTGTTATGTTGTCTAATGAGTTAATGTAATGGTTTAAATTTATGTATTATGAGACATATATAAAAAATAAATAATTCATCAAGATGCTATGGTAGTCATTCTCTACAGTTCAATATGTTATGAAAATACTGCTTATGGAGAATTCTATTTTAAACATATTTGTTTTTATTTTTATAAAATTTAAGTGCATTATAATATGTTTGTGAATATGTCCAAATCAAGTCAGTTATTTGGAATTATAATCAACTGGAAATATTTTTAACTAAGAAGTGGATATGTTAGAAAACATAAAATGTTTTACTAATTTGAGATTCAAAAAATAACTTTAAGGCATATGTTGGGAGTCTACCTATCTATAATAAACAATGTTATACTCAATAAATAATTATATCCAGTTAAGGATGACAGTCAATTTAAACTGTTACATAGTATTCAAAGCATATACTAAATCTGTTATTTTTAAAGTAAGAAAGGGGTATATGAATTTTGAATAGAAAACAGTTTTTTTGTTTTTTTTTAACCCCAACAAAGATTGAAAAAAATATTTAAAGTATGTTGGTTTGAGGAATGCACATCTCACACTGACTTGGATTGTCCCTCACATTCTCAGGCTACTCTTGACTCTGTTTGCTCTTCATCTTGTCAGAATGTCTAACTTCTAGGGGTCTTCATTTTTAACTTTAATAGCCATCTTTTATAAATTTTTGGTGATACAAAATAGTCAACTTTCTTCTAAGTACTGCATAAATCTTCATCTATAATTACTATTTTTTATAACTGATCTCCATGTCTGATCAATGATAAGTTAGAAGATATTTGACATAAGGTCCATGGAGTTTTGCTTCTATATGGAAGATTTATGCTGTTATACAGGAGTTTTCAGATGTTTTGCACCACAGAGAGACCATTACTAGAATGAGTAAAGTGTGTTGAAAATTGTGGTATAACACAGCCATTCTTAGGTTTTACAAACAACTAACTGTCCATGATTAGCAATACGGGCATTGAAGTACAAAGCAGGAATTTCTTCTGGTTCATATAAAATACACAGAACATCCAAACAGGACAGAAATGATGTTCTTGGGCACATGTTCTGCTTTAATAGCCTTCATTAGTAAGGTGGAATTGAAAGTTTATATCAGAATCCGTTGTGTATTTTTCTTAGATCATTGTATATTAAGACATGGATAACCTAAATATAGTTCTCATTACAGGAATGTTCACTTGGTATACATACATATTGTTTTAATAACCATAAATAACCCATGTTCAAGAGTCCTTCTAGGTATATATTTAAAAAGATACCTGAAATTGGTGGATCCTATCTAATTGTTACTGTAAAGATTACAGCACCAAATTCTGTTAGGATAAAACTTACTTATATCTGAGTAGGCTTCTCATTACAGCAATGTATATTTTGGAAATAGAGGAAGATCTCATTTGCAACTGTTATATTTTTTATGCTGAAGTCATTGTTAGAGTGTTCAGGCTTTGTTTCTCAAATCGGGGTACATACATATACACTTGTTCTGTATTATCAAACTAAATTTAAACTCACAATAAGTGTATCAGTGGGGTATGATGGGATAAAATTGACACATCCTTGTAAAACATCATTTTTAATTGAAAAATTTTAGAACAAACCATTTCAAAATGAAAAATATTAAAGGTCTATAATGGAATAGATTCTGAATTTCACATAAGTTTTAGGATAAATCAAGAGAATTACCGAATTGTGTTTATGGCAGTCTGCTTTGGACTCCTCCACTGGAACTCTCAGGGTGTGGCATCACTCCCTGCCTCTAGGGGTCCTTGGGAGGCAAGTTTTAGGAGCAGTATATGGCAGTCTTTTAATGTATATACATTCTTATTTTCCATACTTCAGAAACAGAGTTGGATCAAAGAACTGGGCTTAAATAAAACACTCACCTTATTTGCAAAACATTTTTCAATCTGGAGTTTCTGTATATCTGCAACAATTTCTCCATTAGGTAAAATAGTATAAAGAAGCAACTGGGCAGTAGGAGCAATGTCTGATTCCACTTGAAAGGAGAAGGAAAATACCCCCTTCACTGGAGAATAAGGGAAGATAAAGAAAATTTATTAGGAAGAGAGAAGAGTTCTCAATTTTATAAAGAAGAGGTTCTCAATAATTTTACTTATTCATTTTTGGATTATACTGAAGTAAGAAAAGACTTGCATTTATATCATTGGGCATGTAGTAGTGTTCAATAAATATATACTGAACTAATGGCATGTTTACTTGAAGATTTAGGTTAGGTTAATTTGTTTGTTTCCTCTGCTTAAGTGGGATAAAAAACATTTAGTATATGTCTCAATTTTTAAATTAAAAAAGACTTATTAAGAAAGAAGCCAAGAGAGAAGAACTTCTAGAAACCTTTCATTATCTCCATCTGTAGTCCAAAATCAGCACAATTCTTGTCATATTCATGAGGATAATTCAAAGAACACAACACAGTCACCACCTTCAAACCATTTACAAAAGAGCAGAGATATAGGTACAAATAATCACATGTAAAACAACCTGTGCCTCTGATTTTTATAAAAGAAGTCTCTGTATTTATCTTAGTAGTTGCATAGTGCTTATATAATACACTTGCTAATTTTTCCAAAAATGTTCTAGGTTTGATCTTTGTTGCATAAAATTCTTTAAAAAATATGGATTTTCTGTATCCATAAAATATTTGAAGGCAACTTGTGGTAAAAATACACAAAATAGCTGGATCAATATAAATTTGAAGCAATAATACTAAAACTGTATAAAAGTGGATTTCTGGAGCAGGATTAAACATAGACAGGAATTAATTTCACTAATTTTATTTAAATAGTTATACTCTAGAGTACTTAAATTTAGCATTGAGTTTTCTACAACTCAAAGACAAATGAAAAAGCAACAATTTATATAGTTATCAAATAAGATATATATATTGCAGGCTGAAAAAATTTAAGCCCATATTATAATAATTCCAAGGCTACTCAGCTTGATAACATTTCATTTTACAAAACACACTAACAACCATTATTTAATTTGAGTCCAACAATCCTGTGAATTAGATTTAAAGAATTTCTAGCTAGATGTGATTTCAGAGTTTGTCAGGTTCAGTTATTTAAAATATATTTCTTCTTAAAGAGATATTTTCTTCTTCTCACTCCACCTCTCTATGTACTTAATCCATATACAATTTAAACTCTATTATGAGAACTAATGTTGAAGAAATGGCTTTTTGAGGCACTTTGATTTTTGATATGGTGTTAGCCACAACCTTAATATCACATGAAATTTTGTAGAATGCATTTAAAGCAGTATTTTGAGGGAAATGGATAGCACCAACAACTATATTAGAAAAGAAGAAAGATCTCACTCAGTCAGCGACCTCAGCTTACCCATGAAGAAACTGAGAAAAAAAGAGTATATTATATGCTAAGTAAGCAAAAGGAATAAATGATAAAAATCAATGGATATGATGATATAAATGTAGAAAAACAAAGAGAAAATCAATTCAACCGAAAGCCAGTTGTTTAAGAAAATCAACACAATTGATAAACCTGTAACATGACTGATCAAGAAGTAACAAGAGAAAATACAAATTATCATTATCTTGACTTAAAGGGGTACTATTAGTATAGATATTATAGCCATTAAAAAGTGATTATTTATGTTAATATTTATGTTATAGATTATTTATGTTAATAAAGTAGACAATTTAGAGAACTAGACAAAGTCATTGAATGCTATACATTATCAAATCTCACTCAAGAAGTAATAGCTAACTTAAATTGTACTTTATCTATTAAAGAAAATAAATTTTTAGCCAAAACTTTCTCACAGAGAAAATTTCATACCCAGAGGGATGCACCGATAAATTCTACCATATATTTAAGGGAGGAAAAAAAAAAACACCACCAAGTCTAAATAAATTCTTCCAGAAAAATGAAGAGAAGGATAATAAATCCCTTTAGCTATCTCAGCAAGACCTAAAAAGGGAGATAGAATTATGCAAGAAAAATCTGTGGATAATCTTATTGTTTAATGAAGTGACTGTGACATATGGGACACCCATAAGATTTCTGAGAAATTTTTATCAGCAGAAACACTGCCAGTTTAGACCAAAAGGGTCAGAGAGAGTATAAAATGAAAGAAGGATATTAGACTCATCAATTTCTACAGGCAGGAAACAAGCTGATTAAACTATTAAGTTGCAAACAAATACTATGCTTTATGAAAAAGAATGATTCAGAAAGTGGAACCTTGAGCTCAGGTAGTAAAAGCATGAACCAAAGAAGATTTTTACCAGATCTTGAAACCTAGTGTTTTTTGTGCAGCTGGATTTCAACTTTCTTGGGACTGATAACCCATTTTGTCCTAGAATCGATTATACTTAGGGCATCACCAACACCTAATTTAGATGATTCAGATGATGATATTTTGGACTTTTGAGTTTATGAGATTCACATGAGATTTTGGACTTGAGTTAATATTATAATATATTGAGGCATTTAGGGATGTTGGAATAAGGTGAATGCATTTTGCATGTGAGAATGATATGGATCTTTTGGGCCAGAGGGAAGTTTGTGGTAGGCAGAATCATATTACCTTCCAAGATATTCATGTAATAATCTCAAATACTTGTGTATATGTCACTTATATAGCAAAAGGGACTTTGTGGAAGCAACTGAGTCAAGGACCTTGAGATGGGAAGATTATATCTGGTTATCCAAGTGGGCCCAATGGAATCACAATGATGTTTAAAAGAGAAAGGCAAGAATAAGGAACTAGAAATGTTCTCTTTTCTTGTTTATACAGTATTTTATTTTTATATACTCTTTCATTTTTCAATTACAGTAGAAATACAATATTATATTAGTTTCCAGTGTACAACCCAGTGATTAGACATTATATAACTTACTAAGTGAACATCCTGATAAATCTAGTATACATATCTTTTTTTATTTTATTTTATTATTATTTTTTTTTAATCCTCACCCGAGGACATTTTCGCATTTTTTGTTCAGACAGAGCGGGAGGGAGAGAGAGGAAGAGAGAGAGAGAGAAACATCGATGTGAAGGAACACATCGAGTGGTTGCCACCCGCACGACCAACCAGGGCGGGGGACAAACTGCAACCGAGGTACATGCCCTTAGCGGGAACCGAACCCGGGTCTCTGTGTACCGCAGGCCGACGCTCTAACCGCTGAGCCAAACCGGCCAGGGCTAGTATACATATCTTTATGGCACTGGTAATTCACTGTGATACAATTTCCCATTCTAATAAATATTTACTTTAAAAACTCAAAAAAAAAAAAAAAAAAAAAGAGAGAGAGAGAGAGAAAGGCAGGGATTTAAAAGAGATTTGAAGATGGTGTGCTGCTGGCATTGAAGGTAGAAGGCGCCATGAATTAAGGAATGCAGGAATTCTTCTAGAAGCTGGAAAAGGCAAGGAAACAGATAATCACCTAGCTCTCCAGACAGAAAGTAGTCCTGCTGACACCTTGCTATTAACCCAGTGAGACTTATGACCTACAGAACTGTAAAGAATAAATTTGCATGGTTTTAAGGCAGAAAGTGTATAGTAAGTCTATTACAGAAGCAATAGGAAACTAATAGAAAACATACAGACAAAATTTTTTCTTTGGTGATTTTCTGCAGTTTTCAATTTTTTTTTTCATTTTAAGAACCATTATAAAGTAAATATTTTAGGAATAAATTAATACATAGAAATACTATAAAAAGAAAAAAAAATACTAAATGGACTAAACTAAACCTAGATGGCATCCTTTTGTATCAACGTTCTCATCTTTGGTTGATGGAAGAAGGTTGTTGACAATTTTATCTACTGTAAAAAGAACTCATTCTTACTGAAATGTTCAAGATTTAACACTATGAGAGAAAAACATAGGAAATTCCAAAAGTGCTTACTGTCCCCTTGTTCAATGGACAACACATGGATTCCTGATCGGGAGATGCTTCCTCTTGCTATAATCTGAAGACAGAGGAAAATTCATTTATTATTTTAAAAGGTACATATTAAACTTAAACATATTTATAATATATAAATAAATAATAATCTCACTACTGCAACCCAGAAGTTACTTTGAATCATCAAATTTCTCTTCTACTTTCTTATATGTATAGTTATGTACTTTAAGTAAAAACATATACTTCTACAAAGGTTTTATATTTTACTTAATATTTACTTTCTGTCATGAATATTAATATTTAAAATGTATATATTCTTTTAACAAATATTTAAACATCTATTATATATAAGCAACCTATAATGAAGGCAGATATAAAATATATGTAAATATTTTTTATAGTCTTTATTGAAAAAAACCTAAATGTATTGACCTTTTCTGTGTGCCAACCACTAAACTAAATAACTTCGTTTTAGGATTTTATTTAATTTGCACAGTAACCTCATGAAGTTGTTATAAATACCAACTCCAGTATTAGAGTGAGATGACTGACATTTCTCTTTATAGATAAGATGAGAAAATGCCCACAGACACATAAGTAGGAAGCAATAAAGCTAAGATATAAACTTATTGTCAAATTTTTAATATTTTCACAGAATTTTTAACAATATTATTTATAGTTAATGCTTCTATACAGAATTTCCTACACATACATTTTTTTTCTTCTAACAATGACTTACTTGGGCAACTACCAACTTTGAACAGTTTTAATTTGGGGACATAAACATGTATATTGGCCTAAAAATATCATGCCTATTTATATTATGCCTGTGAATGTACTTCCCCCTGCCATTACACCAGTCATCAACTTTGTAAATTATTAGAACTTTTTAAAGTACAAAATGATACTGCTTTATTGTTTTAATTTTCACTTCTCCAATGAATGTCAAAATTAAATATTTTTCCAGAATATTTTTCAACATTTTTATTTCCTATTGAATAAGCTCTTGCCCTGGCCGGTTTGGCTCAGCGGTTAGAGCGTTGGCCTGCGGTCCGGAGAGACCCGGGTTCGGTTCCCGCTACGGGCACGTACTTCGGTTGCAGTTTGTCCCCGGCCCTGGTTGGTCGTGCGTGCGGGTGGCAGCCACTCGATGTGTCCCTTTCATGTCGATGTTTCTCTCTCTCTCTCTGCCCCCCACTCTATCTGAACAAAAAATGGAAAAATGTCCTCGGGTGAGGATAAAAAAAAAATGAATAAGCTCTTGAGTATTATCTTTTGCTTACTTATCTACTAAAAAAAACTTCTCTTCAAGCATGAAAACCAAAAATATACATATTCATATTATCTTATAAAGGGCATTACTTAGATAGGAGCACACTCTTTTGGGGATCTACACAATTAGGAAGAGCTACAATGGCTTTTATTCTTACCAAGTAATAGAAAGTTAACTCTTTTTCGTCTTTCAGAATCTGTCCATTCAGGATGTAGTATGCTCGGATCTCTTGGGTTTTCCCACAGGCTATGGTATCAGCAACAAGTTCAAGGTGAACATAACTGTTGCTTGGGGAGAAAACTTGCTTTACAGCATGCTCTGCTTGCAGATGAGTTTCTTCAAGCCACCATGGATCGAAACAGTTGCTAGGTTGTTTGTACATGACCTAATGTAAGCAATAAAGGTCTTAAATAGGTTATTTGTTATCAATATATATTATGTATTTGTTAGTTACTCTCTGTAATTTACTGAAGATTTTATATGAACCACACTTACTTGGTTCTATTATAGGCTGCTTTCCCAAATAAAGTGTAATCTATGAATGACTTTCCCTTAAGTTTATTTTGGGTTATACTGTACTGATTTAGTAGATATTATTCACTCACGATCAAGACCAATTACTTTTTAAAAATACTGTTATGGTAGTAAATTACACAAGATCATTTGAATATTCTACATAAAACAAAAATAGTGGTATACCAAAGAAACCAAGAAAAACCTAATTTATTATAAAATTGTAAAAATATCAAAATTTTTAAGGGAATATCAAGATGGTCTAACAAATATCTCCTGAAGCTAGATCATGTTGTAAACAGTTTAGATCATGTTGATCTAAAGTAAAAGTTTTCTGACAAATAATTTTTTGTTTCTTATAATTTAATTCTCTACATTGCTTAATTTCTATTTTATTCTTTATCACCTTTTCTTTTATTCCTGAATTCATGTGCTTCCCATATTTCTTTAAATTACGTGGCTTTTGTGAGCTCTATCTTTTTAGTCCCAGATGCCCCTTTCCTCTTACCATAACCATAATTACAGCTGATGTGAAGCTGGTGGTATCAATGGAAATGTTTGCCAAACCGTGCTCATCAGTAGTAAAGTGGAAACGTCTATTTATATCCAAAGTGACAAGGAGAGTTTCATTGGCGATTGGCTGATTCTTCTCATCAACTAGAAGAACCTAGAAATATGAAAGTGATAGCTGGTTTCCAGTGTTATACAGCCACGACATCTTTCATTCTTTGTTGTGTTCAACCTTAACGTCTTGGTCACTGTCATTGACTGAATATCTTAGTATCTAAAAATGAGATTTGCTTTCTGGACTCTAAATTATTTTCCTTTTTGGTATTTCAATTTAGAAAACTCATGAGCATTAAACTGAAAATATCCCAAAGTGAACTCATGATGTTACCTTTCTAAATTTTCTTTGTGTTCAGTGTTCTCTATCTTAGTATATGGTGCTCTGTCCATCCAATAGTTTATGCAGGAATATCAAGGGCTTTGTTTTTTCATTTTCTCTTTCACTACCTATAGATAACCTATTGCCAAGTGCTATCTCTTCCCCTATAAAACATTTTTTTTTTTTTTTTGCTATCTACTTCTCTCCAAACCCATTGCTACCATTCCAGTTAAAACCACAATATTTTTGTCCATCTGGCTTCCATTAGCTTTCTATTTAATCTTACGCAGTCAACTCTCTTGCTGCTTCATTCTTATTTCAAACCATTCTTTATACTGCCCTCAGCTCAACTAATCATATTATTCTTTTTAAAATCTTCAGTTTAAAATTTTAAACATATACTAAAAGGCCCTTTAAGGTCTGTTCAAGTTTACCTACACCTATTCAGTCAATCTAGTTATATCTTCTATCTCAGCCAGTCAGTCACACTGGCTACCTCTTAGTTCTTTGCTCTTGAAAATCTACTTCACACCTAAAGCCTTGGACTTTCTTCCATTTTTCTTAAATTTCTGCCTAAGTTATATTCATCTTTCAAGTCTTCAGTTTTTTCATGCTTTTTTGCCAACCTGAAATGACCTTGTCCAATCATATCTACATATTACTATTATTTTTGCCAATTTGATATGAAGTACTGGAATAAATGCAGATAATATAAAACTTATAATATGCCACTAAAATAAAGAAGTTGGCTGTATACTGTCAATTCAAAGATTAGTTACTACAAAACAAAAATGCCCAGAAATCTTGAATTTCTTTCTTTCTTTCTTTCTTTCTTTCTTTCTTTCTTTCTTTCTTTCTTTCTTTCTTTCTTTCTTTCTTTCTTTCTTTTTTTTTTGCATTTATCATTAGATAGGGCAAGAGGGAGAGAGGAAGAGAGAGAGACACACAAATCGTCACCACCCACACAACCCCAATTGGGGCCGGGGAAAAACTGCAACTTCTAGATACATGCCCTTAGTGGGAACTGAACCTGGGACTCTGGTGCGTGGGTCAACACTCTAACTGCTGAGCCAAACCGGCCAGGGCTTGAATTTCTTTTATGAAAGAAAATTGATAGTTCACTAAATTGCATATTGGACCTAAAATTGACCAATATTACTACCAATATTGAGCCTTGAAATTGGAAAAACTTTTCAAAACTATGAATAATTAAAAAAAAATTAATCATGTAGATGGAAAACTATTTTGTCTATAGTAGATTATATTACAAAATCATTGTTTAGAAAGAGTCAATCAAATAATATGCAGCCAAACTACTCAGAAAAAAATGAATTTTATAGGTGTGTCAAGAAGCTGATTAATAAAATATGCTTTATTTTTCTGGATTTTGTGATGGTGTTTGCCTTTTATAGTTGTAATTTGCTATAATTTATTTTCTTACTGTAAATAAATATTCATTTTCCATAATAAATTTTTGATTTTGTGATATAAAACTCATTTTATTAAAAGCCACATCCCCCAAGTTATGATTATATTGAAAAATATTTTACCTGCCCAAATAAAGGGAGCCCAGGTCTATAATATGAATCAATTTTTGTAAATTTCAATTTGCTTAAGGTACTTGTAATTTCACATGATCCATGCCCAGTTAACTCCACCCCTGAAAAAAATAAAAATGCAGTTGGACATTTTTATGTACTTAGTACACCTCCTACCTTCATCCCAGCTTCACTCCATCATAACAAAATCCCATCCATATCATTTTTTCTTATTCTTCCCAGGGTTTTTCACACTTCGAAAATATAAGCAATTTGACATTTAGCTTCACTTTCATATAAAAAATTTATTGGATTCCACACTTGTCCAATTCCTCTGGTTTCACAAGTATCCTACTTGTTCCACCTATGTTCTTAAGTTTTTCTCATTCTCTGTGATTTTGCTCCGTCTTTGTTTCTGTCTCTCTCACATCCCTTCCCTGGCCCACAATTTTTTTACATATAACATAATTCTTTACATTGGCCTAAAAATATGCTTAAATTACTTATACAAATAACTTCTCCAGCAAGACTCTTCTTTTCACTCAAAGGCCTATCCAAGGTATAATCAACACCTGATGCGTTTCTATTCAATAATCTGTATTTTGTCTTCAACATCTAAAGTATTACTCTATCAAAGTATAAAAGATCCCCTATTTGCTTTTAATATAGTAGTCTCATTTCAGGCTTAATAAAATGAACTCTCAAAAGTAATTCATACATAATAAGTATAACCAAAACTTCCAATGGTTTCTAAGAAATCATATTTTTAATTTTTCTTCTATTCTTCTGAACTCTAATTTTATTATGTTGACTTATTTGATACTATCTTTTAACTACACAGTAGTACTCCTTATCTGTGGGGATATGTTGCTAGTCCCCCAGTGGATGCTTGCAGCCATGAATAGTACCCAACCCTATATATATTATGTTTTTATCTATGTATATATACCTATAATAAAGTTAATTTGTAAATTATGCATGCAACTTAAAACTTATGAATTGTTTATTTCTGGAATTTTCCACTTAATAATTTTGGATTGTGGCTGACCATGGGTAACTTAAATTGTAGTTGTTTCTGTCCTTGGGCCCTTTCTTGTCCAAGTCTAGTCTCAATTTAGCAATACTAAGTGAGCTCACTTGTAGAACAATTGCATTTACTCTTAGGAGGATATGGACACAATAGAAATGGTTCTATATTCACATTTCTTGTCTTGATTTTGCTCTGGCTTTCTTTTAAAATTATCTACTGAATGAATCAATTTTCATTTTGATATTCCAAATTATAATACATTTTCTTGGACACATTCTCATCACCATAGTTCTTTTTCATCTACTCCTTATCTTGGTTAATGCCATTTTCATTTTCCAGTACCCAAATGTGTAATCACTGTGGTCATCTTTGAGTAATGTTTTGATGTATCACATTGTAATACATCATCTAGCCTGTCCTCTTCATGTCAGTTAGGATTATTATTTATTTATTTATTATTAATTTATCTTGTTATAGATGTTTCTACTTTTCCCCCCATTGACACCCTCCTCCTGCTCCCCCCCACCTCATCCCCAGTATTGTTGTCTATGTCCATGGTTATGCATACATGCATGTAAGTTCTGTGGTTTATCTACCCCCAACCCTGCGCCGACCCCCTCTTCTGAGGTTTGTCAGTCTGTACCCTACTTCTATGTCTCTGGGTCTACTTTGTTCATCAGTTTGTTTAGTTCATTATATTTCACAAATAAGTGAGATCATGTGATATTTGTCTTTCTCGGAAAGATCTTTTATCCTTTAAGATGACATGGAGAAACCTGGAGAGTATTATCCTAAGCAAAACAAGCCAATCATAGAATTATCTTTTTAAAATATCAATTTATTTAGGTCATTCTCCTGAAATATATCTAAAGATATCCAATGCTTTTTATAATAAAGTCTAACTTCTTTAGCATATGCTGTATTTTTTTATTTTATTTTATTTTATTTTATTTTTTTGTACAGATAGAATAGGAGGGAGAGAGAGGAAGGGAGAGGAGTGAGAAACATCGACGTGAAGGGACACATCGAGTGGCTGCCACCCGCATGACCAACCAGGGCCGGGGACAAACTGCAACCGAGGTACGTGCCCTTAGCGGGAACCGAACCCGGGTCTCTCAGGACTGCAGGCCGACGCTCTAACCGCTGAGCCAAACTGGCCAGGGCATATGCTGTATTTTTCTATACAACTTAACACCCATTTGTGTTATGCTTACCATGCTTTCCCAGATCATCACTATCTTTCAAAATAGTATTCATTCTATGCAAATCAGCTCAAATGAACTTTCTTTGGCTTTGTGTTAGAATTAATTATTTATCTCCATATTCATTTATCCCTTGTATTTTGCATTTCTTGTAGTTAATATTACTATAGTTATACATTTATATATATATATATAATTTCTTTTAAGATTTATAATTCCTTGTGGACAGGGATCATGCTATTTTCATAGATCCTCAGAAAAAAAGTGTTTTACATGGAATAAAATTTTGATTAATGTTTAAAATTAATAAGTTGATGAATTAATATTTAAAATAATACAAACCTGTTCCCTCCTCTCTGACTTTGGCTTCCACATTTAATCTCATGTCATATCCTCTTCGACTCAGCTGAAATAACTTAGTCTTTACGAGTTGTGTGAAACAGCCTTTATTGTCTGCCTGAAGGAAAAGAAAAAGAATTCCTGGGTCCTCTGATTTGCTATCAGAAGAGTCAATTATCAACCTAAGAAAATTATTTTTTGGCTATAGAAAAATAATTTACAAATGTTCTGACAATTTTTTAGTTGCTTACCCTTTCTTAAGCCCAAAAATGACATAAAAGTCTTCATCAATTATTCATTGAGTTACTGTTGCCAATTTTTGTCTTCTTCCCTTTCTTGAAAGCCTATCCCATTTTTGCCATATTAAACTTCCTAGAGTGTCCAAATGTGCCACAGTATTTTATAATTCTATTTTTGTATATATTATTCATCAAATGATAACATTCTTTCTCTCATTCTTATTTTAAAGACAGCAGTTATTGCTTTTCTAAACTCAACTCAGATATAACTCAGAAGTCTCTGTAATCATTCCCACATAAATATTGGCTAAGGATTATATTTTCTCAACTGCATTTTCTCAATGTCTCAAACATTAATTGAATAGATATGGCTTTCTGTAGTATGTACAGTCATCCATCACTTACCAATGGGAATACATTCAGAGAAATGCATTTTTAGGTAGTTGTGCAAACATCATAGAGTGTACTGAAACAGACCGGGATGGCAGAGCCTATTACACTCTAGGCTATATGGGATAGCCAATTGCTCCTAGGCTACAGGCTTATACAGCATGTTACTGTACAAAACAACATGATCAAGCAGAAGAAAAAATGATGCAACCACAGATACACAGTAAACATGAGCTGTATGAGGCTGCTGCTGTATGACATAGTATACTGTTTTATAACTTTTTTTATAAGTAGAGTATATTCTAACAATAAAAAGTATAGTATAGTAACTATATAAACAACATAGTCATTTATTATTAAGTATTATGTACTGTACCTAACTGTATGTACTATACTTGCATTAAGGCTGTTTACACTGGCATCAACACAAACACGAGTGATGTGTTGCACTGTGACATTATGGAGAGAAGTGGACCAGGCCTACTGTTGACTGAAACATCATTATGCAGCACATAACTGTAATCAGATTTCCAAACTAAACATTAGGAGCCATGTTTTAATAAAGTTTTGTTTTTATTTTTGTACTTACATAAACATATTTATTGCATAATAACATTTACTTATATTTAATAATATATTGAGGTCCTGACTCACTTGAAAATAAAAATTAGTCTCTCTGATATATTAAAGATTTTGGCTTAGATTTATCTCATGTTTATCTAGCCAACTTTAAATACTTTCACATTCTTTTATGCCCTATACCTGGCATGCTGATTGCCATTGAAAGAAAGTTACACAACTAGACAAATAAATATCACTGTAAATGCATGAGCCTGACCCTCAAGTGAGCTCCTGATGTTGCCATGCAATTAATTATACGATGTTTCCCTTACTTCACAATTTTTCAAGGTGACTATTTCAATCACTACTCTCTATTGTACCGTATTCAGAATACAATGTTCTATTGTTTTTTCCATTGTGTTATGATCCAGGAGAAAAAAAGATTTGGTTTTAGTATCTTGGGGAGAGTAGTTTCCATATACCTGTTGACTGAATTCTTCACAGAAATGTTCTGAATATCTTTTATTACAGATGTTAACATTTTGTAAATATTTTCTGCATACATTAATTGTCACCAGACCAGGGACAGGCTTTCCATATGTGTATCTAAAACAATAAAGAAGTCATACAAAAAGATTTTTAATGTCAATAACTATTGTTTTTCTTCCTGGTTTGATCCATTTATATATCCATTTTATTCATCTACAGCAATTGTATTTCCTTCCATAGCATTTGCATTTTAAGAGCATTTATTCTGTAACCATCTCACAATTATCCAAGTAAGCATACATCTATATATCTAAGAGAAAATAGTTATTGAATATTTTGAAACACCTCCAAATGAAGAAATAACAATGTGGTTTTCCTCAGAACTTTCTTCCACCTTAGTTGAGGTTTTCTTATAAACCTATTTTATTTCTGTCTTCCTCTGTTGCCAGACTCTCTAGGTTATGATTACAGCTTTGGAAACATCTCCTTATTGTTATGTATTTTAACAGCATAAAAGAGAAGTTAAATGGGAACGCACTAACTATGAAACAACAATGTTTAAAATGAATAGTACCATAATGACTTATTCTGGTTCTGCCATTTCTCATGGAAGGATATAATGTGCTATGGTCTTAATGTTGAGTCCCCCCAAATTCATATGTTGAAATTCTAATCCCCAAGGAGGATGGTATTAGGGTATAAGGCCTTTGGGAAGTGCCTAAACTATGAGGGTAGAGCCTTCATGAATGGGATTAATGCTTTTATAAAAGAGGTTCCAGAGAGATCCTTTGCTCCTTCCACCATATGAGCACATTGCCAGAACACCAGCTATGACCAAAATTTAGCCGTGCTGTCACCTTGATCCTGGATTTCCAAGTCTCTAGAAATGTGGACAATAAATTTCTTTTGTTTATAAACTACCCAGTCTGTAGTGTTTGCTATGGTAGCCTGACTGGAGTAAGACATGATGTGAAATTGAACTTAGTTTATTGTTTCTCAAAATATGCTTTACGGACCACCTACATTGAAACTACCTGAGATATGTATTGATATTAAGTGTCCTGAATCTCTCCTCAAATTTATGATTAGAATCTCTAGAGGTGAGGCCAATAATCTACATTTTAACTAAGCACCTCCAGATTTTGATTTACCGAAGTTTGAAAATTATTGCTTTAGCACAAACTGTGAGGAAGGGGGGATTTTGCCTCAGTGTCCCCAAACTTCTCCTTTTTGAAATAATTTCCCCCCTGAATTTTTACAGTGCTAATAAATTAATTACTAAATTTTAATCACTTTGTTGAATCTTAAGTCTGAATCAAAAGGTGTTTCCTCTGATGGAAAATTTTAAAGCATTGAATTCTACATCATATATCTAGCATTTAAGACAAGGAGTCAGCTTAGCTTCTTCTAACTTTTCATAGTTTAAGAAATTTGGAGCAATAAAAAAATGGGGATAGTAGGACACAGAATAACACAGAAGTTACGGGCATGAGCTTCAGAGTTGGACCGCCTGGGTTAAGTTTAGCACTGTGTCTAGGATACATACATTCTTCACAAAGCCATATATATATATATATATATATATATATATATATATATATATATATAAAATTGGTGATGAGATCAGAGTCTGAGCCAAACTGTTGGATTTAAATTACAGTCTGTCATTTACTACCTGTAGGAGCTTGAGCAACTTTTTATTTTTATTTTTATCCTTTATGTGTTATAGTTTCCTTATTTGTAAACTGAGGATAACTATTCTCATCTCATAGGGTTAGTGTAAGACTAAAAATGTTAAGTGTACGGCGCTTAAATCATTGTCTGGCCCATTATAAGTGTTCAGTAAATGATTTTATTAGTAATGGTAAAAATGTCATATGCTACCATTCCTGCTCCCTAATCAGGGTTCAGGAGAGTTGGAGAGAATCATTCCTTCTTTAATTAAAATACTTCAAAGTCCAGTAACGGTTATTTTCAATATAGATAGAGTAGAAATATAGAAATAAGATGAAGATAACTCACATGCCACATGCAGATACCTCAAATGTTTCTTCTAGAATACTAATAGTCCTGGGCATTTTCAACTGGACCTCAAATTCGGGCAAAACTGTTTTCAATAGAAAAAAGAGAAGTAAGAGTGGCCAGGAAATCTTGCAAGTGTGAGTAATGATTCTATTAGAGAGCCTTATATCATAGGGTTACATGGAATGATTTCAATTACAATTTAGAGCAGCAGGGCCACTACTGAGAAAGGAGATATCATTCATAATCACAGGCAATTTGTACCACATTAACTTGGTAAGCTGGTTCTATATTTCCTAGACTCTCCTTGTCTGAATTTGGCTGAGATTTCAAAGGTGGAAAGAAAGCATCACCACAAGTCTCTGAAGATCATCAGTGTTAGATGTAATAACAGGTACAGTGAGGCCAGTCGGTTCCAATTTGTTCTTATTCTCTCCCTCTGTGTCCAGCTTTTCTTCTCAACTGCTCACCCTGCTGACTAACACAGGCCCTAGACCCACAACCAGGCACTTGGTTACAGAATCATTGAAGTGATATATAGGATTCTTCTATCAGTTTTCCTCTGTGGTCCAGCCTGGCAGCTGAAGGTACGCTTGCCAGGTTCTGGTTTATTTGTTCCCATCATTGCTTCAGGAGAAATGGTTAGTAATTTCCTTTGACACACCAACTCCTGCTGAACACTTACTTGCTTGCCCCTCCCACAGTTGTATGAGGTTAGTTATTCAGATAGTAAATTCCTCTTCTATAATTCTTATATGTAAAAAAAAAAATCCAAATAACTGGTAACTAATATGATGACTTTAATGTCTGATTATTATGATTTAGTGGAGGTAACCATTATAGACCACAGGAGATAATCCCAGGAAATACCTTTAGTTATAAAATATAGATAAACAGATTAATATAGGTAACCCAATGTTTTAACAATATAAGTTTGAATAGGGTCAAATGGACTTATTAAACTCTCTCTTGTTTCTTATTGGTGCTGTGATTTTGGTACATTATTAACTTTTCTAATATTGATATGCTTATTTATAAAATAGAAATAGTTGATATGCTCATTGACAAAATAGTATCTTCCTCATAGAACTGCTGTGAGGATTAATTGAGATAATGTATAAAAAGAGTTTAGTGAAAGATCTCTTATCATTTGAGAAGACATGGAGGGACCTGGAGAGTATTATGCTAAGCAAAACAAGCCAAGCAGAGAAAGACAAATATCACATGATCTCACTTATTTGTAGATGATAATGAACTAAACAAACTGAATGAACAAAATTGACCCAGAGACATAGAGGTAGGGTATAGACTGACAAACCTCAGAAAACAGGGGGGAGGGGGTTGGAGAGGAAGAGATAAACCACAGAATTTATAGCATGTATGCATGATCAGTGAACATAGACAACAAAACTTGGGATGGGGCGGGGGGAGGGGTAAGGGGAGGAGTGTCAATGGGGGAAAAAGAAGAAACATTTGTAACAAAAATAAATTAATAAAAATAATTTAAAAAGTGTGTAGCAAATATTTAAGTAAATAAAAAAGACTGCTAATTTTCAACTCTTATATGCTAGATTTTTGCTTGTCATCTATGTGTAAAAACTAGCCAATCTTAAATACTCCAATGTTATAAATATCTTGGACACATGCAGATTTCTTACCATATTCTTTCACTTCAAAGGAGTGCTCTATTTTTTTCCCTGACTCCTTCTGCACTATGACCTTGTAGTGACCCAGAGTGGGATCCACTGAGAGTGGGAAAGAGAGCTGGTTGAGTCCCCCTTGTAATGTGAGTCTTTCCCATTGGAAAATTCGGTTCCTCTTGGGATTCTATAGGTAAAAACATTGTGAGTTTATGGAAACAGTTGAAATATATACTTGTGAGTAGAGGGACATGGGGAAGGTTGACATTGAGACTTGGACAATGGATGGTTGGTAAAGTGGCACCAAAGGATTCGCAGAGTTTTCTAAGAATTCCAGATTGAGAAAAGGACAATGACTTTACCAGCTATGAGATATTACAGATGACAGTACCTTCTTTTTTAGATTAGGCATATTTATTGTGGTCAGAAATATTGGAAGAGTCACTATATTGCATAATCTCAGGGAATTTTGTTCTTTTATGTACGTCTTATACACTTTTCAAGGGATTTGGGATAAACAAGGAAAACAGTGCTTATGTAGTTTTGGTGAAATGCTAGTGGGAACAGAAGAGGTGGAGAGAGGCAGTTTAACACAACTTGAATTAAGTCCTCATCCCAAATAAGGTACATAGCATAGTTCTTACCTCAATATAAACCACTGGAAACTGAAAAGAAAGAAACAACATGAGCATGAGATAGAGTTTAGAAAGGGAAAATTGTGATATCAGCATTTATAATGTATCTGGGTGAGAGGAAGTGAGTCTACATATTTCTCATCCAAGCAAAGAATTATGCCCCAGTTTGGTTCACAGCACTTTATACGTTTAGTTTTGGATGCCCAATGAAATAATGTACAATTAAGGAAACATAAACTTAGGTTAAAAAGGTCCCAATAATAAGTTCATTTTGCAAATGATATTTATCTCTAAGAAATTCTTGATTTCTCTAAGAGAGAATTCAAATACAGTTAGTTTTCCTTTGTTCAATAAAAATAACTGGTACTTTTAAGAAGATAATTTAAACAATATTTATTTTATTCTGAGAATGTAATTGATGAGCTGATTTCCCTTATTCTCCAGCAGTGGTGCCCTCAGAAAATCTTTCTGTGGTAGATTTAAGTATCTCATACTGGTCTCTGGTTCACCAAAAGTACAGGCTGTAACTTTTTGCCTGTTTCACCCAACCTCACCCATTGTTATGAGACTCACCGTTTCATTCAAAGGGTGAAAACTGACATCCACAGAGACAATTCGGAATCTCACTGAAATAGAGATTTTCCCCATGAAATCCTCCAATGGGAATTCAGATAACAACATGCCAGGACATTTTCATGATGGCAGAATAAAGTAATAAAGAATCCCCCCACAACCCTCCCCTTAACGTCCTTGTTCATTTGTTTCCTTATACCTGTTTGTCCTGGTTTGTAGATGGGTTTGTCTGTCTGGACAAAGACGAGACTCTCTGCTTTTAATAAGTGTATTGTCTTCCTCGTTATGAACTCCTGGGTTGGCCCTTTCACCTGCACAGTAATAAGTGCTGAGGAAGATGGCAACTCTGGAATCTATAAAACAGAAATATGAGCTGAAGAATCTGTCTAGACTGACCCACTTCTGAATGTCTCAGCCTTTATGATATTCTCATTTCGCTGATTAGTCCCATGAGCTTTAGTAGAAAATATGGTCAAAGATTATTACTGCTTTATAGATTTTTGTGATTGTGTAACATTACAGTAACGATTCATTGATTTAATTCAAGGGAAAATGTCATTGCAATAAAACAAACTTCAACTAGTAATGATAGTGACGGAAATAACATGCCTGTATTTTCACAGCAATTATATGCTATTGTTCATAGTAAGCCAGTATGATTAACTAAATATTTAATATCTTAAGTATTAGAAGGACAATACATTAACTATCAGCCATCTGTGTGATCTTAGATAAGTCATTTAACTATGAATCTTACTGTTTATATCTGTGATGGCATGAAGATTGTCTTAGAAGTTCAAGAGCAAATGAAATCTTTCCTATAATTACGGTTAGATTTCTTATATTGCACTAGATCTGTTTGTAAATATTATCTAGGCACATTCAGTAGAATTTTCATGTTTAGAATTTAAAGTTCACTCCATACTTCACATTTTGTTTTTCATTATGCTTTTTTATTGTTGGGGATCAGAACACAAGGCATCGACTAAATATGTGCTTTCATTAACAATCTCTCTTATCCCAAAGAATGATACTGACAATTAAGGGGCTGCAGTAGAAAGAGTCCTTCTCTGTCACCAGGTCCGTAAGGAGGGCCTTGCTGTACTTTTCATATTCCAGAATTACATTAAGTGTTACTGTCTCATTTAGGTGACTAAGCATGACACAGGCCTTCTCAGGAACCCCACTGTATGGCTGTTTTGGGATCACCACCAGGTACTGCCTGTGGAGAGGAAGAATCTAAATCAATCGTGGAGAGGTTAAAAAAAAATCATTATTTTTATTTATTTATTCATTATTTATTTATTTGTTTGTTTGTTTAATCCTCACCAGAGGATATTTTTCTATTTATTTTCAGATAGAATGAGAGGGAGGGAGGGCGAAACAGATAGAAAGAGTGATGAGAGAGAAACTCTATTGGCCACCTCCTGCACACCCCCTACTAGGGATTGAGCCCAAAATCTGGATGTGTGCCCTGACTGGGAATTGAACCAGTGACCTCTTGGTGCATGGGACAATTATCAACCAACTGAGCCACACCCGCTGGGCAAGACATCATTATCATGGCTGTTCCCTAGATAATCTTTGTTATCGTCACCAATCAGAACAAAGCTATTTTCATCAGGCATATAGAGGGTTGTACTTTTCAAAAACCAATCCAAAAGATCTTAGAAACTCAGAAACCCAACAAGCTAAACATTAATATGCTTTTCTTGTGAAAATAGTCACCCTCGTAATATTTGTAACCCTGTTCATAAGTCATGGGTAAGCAATCCATGAGTTATTATGTAATTTGTATTTTCAACTTTAGGAATAAAGAAAATGTGGTTATATACAAGGAACTATCATTCAGCCTTAAAAAAGGAGGAAATCCTGCCATTAACAATGACAGGGATGGAACTTGAGGACGTTATGCTAGGCAAAATAAGCCAGACAGAGAAAGGTAATACTGCATGGTATCACTTATATGTGAAATCTAAAAGAAAGAATAAAAAGAAAGGAAGGAAGAACATCAAAGTTATAGAAATAGAGAGTAGAAAAGCGGTTGCCAGGGTGGGATGTGGGAAGAACAGGGAGAGGTTGGTAAAAGGGTACAAAGTTTTAGTTACAAGACGAATAAGGCCTGAGGATCTAATGTATAACATGGTGATTATACTTGATAACACTCTATTGTATAATTGAAATTTTTCTAAGAGAGTAGCTTTTAAAGGTCTCACCAAAAAAGAAAAAAAGAGAGTAAATATGTGATAAATGGATGTGTTAATTAACTCAATGAGGGGAATCTTTTTACAATGTATACATATATTAAACCATCACACTGGACACCTTAAATATCTTATACTTTTTTTTTTTAATTCTCACCCGAGGACATTTTTCGATATTTTGTTCAGATAGAGTGGGAGGGAGAGAGAGAGAAAGAAACATCGACTTGAAAGGGACACATCGAGTGGTTGCCACCTGCACAACCCAACCAGGGCTGGGGACAAACTGCAACCGAGGTACGTGCCCTTAGCGGGAACTGAATGCGGGTCTCTCTGGACTGCAGGCTGACGCTCTAACCCCTCAGCCAAACCGGCCAGGGCAATCTCATACTTTTTGATCAATTGTTTGTCAGCAAAGCTGAAAGAAACATTTTATTTTCTTTAGCAACAACAAAATTGTGATCAATTGATTAATCATCACTGAAACCATTCAGGACCTGTCTTCATGAAGTCATGGGTTTCATATGGAAGATATCATGAAATTTCATTGTTCCAGAAAACACTAAAGAGATACCATTTAACACATGGGGAGGTGTTGAACTGCTTTTTACCACTGTTTTAAAAGCAACTTTAGTTCTTTTCTGTCTTTCACTCTCTGGTGATGAAAGAAAAGCCACACCAACCTAGCCCAGTCACTAAACACATTCCCACATGTAGCCAGGAGAAAATCTTACTCTCCTCTGGCTTTTTGCTTGTCATTTATAATCACCCAAACCTGCTGCATTTTGCAAAGCTCTGCTTGCCCATGCCTTTTCTCCTTCAGAGGTGTCCCTGTCTATCTGGAAAACGTCTATTTTCTTCGTAAGACTTACCTTGAAAGCAATTTTCTCTGTGCAGACTTCGGTGACAGGTCACATAAGGAGTTAAGTTTCCTTTTTAAATAGGATTCTGCAATACTGGTTTTGCACTGCATTTCATTCTGTGCACCAACTTTCTTATCTACACTGTGAGTTATTGAGGGCAGGGTCCACATTTTGTTAATCTTTGTATCCCCAAAATCTAATGCCAGTCACTAAAGTTTTGCTGAAGGATTGAGTGAACCGACATACAAATGCTGGCTTATCTGTAGCTAAGCATCCGTTTCGTTAAGCTCTGATGGGAGAAAATCAAATGACTGAGTCACTTCACAGGGACCATGAAACTGCAGCCTTTTTCATGAGCCAATAAAGAATTTATCTGTTTTTGGCAGGGGGCGGGTAGTTCAGAATTCTCTGTCTTTATATTTTACAAATGCTGTAGAATTCTATATTCTTTAACTTTTACTTTTTTATTTTAGAATTTTATGTTCTTCTTTTTGTTTTAATCCTCACCCGAAGACATTTTTCCATTTTTTGTCCAGAAAGAGTGGGAGGAAGAGAGAAGAAGACAGAGAGAGAGAGAGAGAAACATCGACGTGAAAGGGACAAGTGGTTGCCACCCACACGACCCAACCAAAGCCAGGGACAAACTGCAATTGAGGTACGCGCCCTTAGCGAGAACCGAACCTGGGTCTTTCTGGACCACAGGCCAGCGCTCTAACCGCTGAGCCAAACCGGCCAGGGCAGAATTTTATGTTCTTATTTGGTGAATGCTTCATAAAAGTTACTGCCCTATGTTTGAGTTTTCTAGAATTGGAGTATACTTCTTTCCATGTGAGCAATAACAACATTAAAAAAATATTTATTGTATTTATTGGGGTGACATTGGTTAACAAAATTATATAGGTTACAAGTGTACAATTCTATAATATACCATCTGTATATTGTATTGTGTTCACCACCCTAAGTCAAGTCTTCTTCCATCACCATTTATCCCCCCATACCCTCTTCTACTTCCCCTCCTCCTTTTCCTTCTGCTAATCACCATACTGTTATCTGTGTGTCTTTTTTTTCTTAATCTCCTCACCTTTTCCACCTAGCTCTCCAATCTCTGTTCCTTATGAAAGTTATCAGTCTGTTTTCTGTATCTATGAGTTTGTTTCTATTTTGTTTGTCTGTTTTTGTTCATTAGATTTCACATATAAGTGAAATGCAATAACAACTTACTGACCCTTCCAAGACCTTTTGACAACAGATCATTCCACAGAGAATCAGAAAATAAATAAAAAGACAGACATCAAGAAGTAGATAACAGCCCTGGCCGGTTTGGCTCAGCAGTTAAAGTGTTGGCCTGCGGTCCTGAGAGACCCAGGTTCGGTTCCCACTAAGGGCACGTACCTCGGTTGCAGTTTGTCCCCGGCTCTGGTCAGTCGTGCGGGTGGCGGCCACTTGATGTGTTCCTTTCACATCGATGTTTCTCTCTCTCTCTCTGTTCCTCTCTCTCTCTCTCCCACTCTACCTGAACAAAAATGGAAAAATGTCCTCGGGTGATGATTAAAAAAAGAAAAAAAGAAAGAAGAAGTAGATAACACAATGGGAAACAGGAGGACAATAGACTTTTCTGCAAATGTCACTTACGGTTTTGAAGTAGCTGAAGCATCTCTGGGAAGGAGCAGGAAAAGCAGAATCAAGACTAGATAGGGCAGTTGGCTTCTCATGGTGTGGAGAGGGAAAGGAAATGATGGGAATCTGAGCCCTTGATTCCTTGAACTCTGCTCTTGTTCCAGACCCACTGGTTTTATTTTACTTGATGGGCAGTGAAAGTAAACTGTTAACCATTTATTTTCGTAACATATTAACTACTTCCAGTATTAAAAAATCAATTCTAGATAATTCCCACAACTGACAGTATTCTTTCATCTATTTTATCAAATTTTCTAAGAACTTCAAAAATAGTGCTTTGAGGCTACATTGGTTCTGGTTATTAGTCAGTACTTTCAATATTTTTAAGGAAAAACAAATAAATTACATAATATAATGAAATCAACCAGCATTCTTGATTTCTCTTTCCTTTAAACAATTGTTATTTAATTTAATTTTTTTAACTTTATTTTGGTTGTTGACCCTATTACAGATGTCCCCATCCCACCCCCTTTTGCCCAGGGAATATCACATCTTTTCCAAAGATTCATTCTATATGGTTCTTTAAGGAAACACAGAAATAAAATTTATCACAGGTATTTTTGTTGTTGTTTTTTAATCCTCACCCGAGGACATTTTTCCATTTTTTTGTTTAGACAGAGCGGGAGGGAGGGAGAGAGAGAGAGAGAGAGAGAGAGAGAGAGAGAGAGAGAGAGAAAGAAACATTGACTTGAAAGGGACACATCGAGTGGTTGCCACCTGCACGACCCAACCAGGGCCAGGGACAAACTGCAACCGAGGTACATGCCCTTAGCGGAAACCGAACCAGGGTCTCTCTGGACCGTAGGCCAACGCTCTAACCGCTGAGCCAAACTGGCCAGGGCTCTCACAGATTTTTAACCAAAATCATTTTGAAGATAATTTCTCTATTGTTTAAAAGATCAATTTTTGCTTTTTATAGCTATCCTTATGTTTGTTTATTTACAAAAGTCTATTGTTTATGTCTATGTTTATGTTTGTTGATAGTTCACTTGGATATAACAACCCATATAACATAATTTATTGTTTCTTAGTTCATTTAACATCTAAAATATAAAGCCAATTAATTAATTTTATTCTGTAAGAAAATGACCTTTATTTGATGAACATTCTTATTTAATTTAAGCTTGAGCAATATAAAAATATTTTGTGCCCCAGCTGGTGTGGCTCAGTGTATTGAACATCGTCCCATGGATTGAGAAGTCCCAGTTCAATTCCTGATCAGGGCATATGCCCAGGTTTCGGGCTCCATCCCCAGAGGGGTTGTGCAGGAGGCAGCTGATTGATGTATCTCTCTTACATTGATATATATATTATATATATATATATATATATTAGATAGAGGAGGGGTGAGGGAGAGAGAAACATTGATCAGCTGCCTCCTGCTTGCCCCCACACTGGAGATTTGGCCAATATGGGCATGTGACCTGACTGAGAATCCATCTGGCGACCTCTCAGTCCATGGGACGATGCTCAATCTACTGAGCCACACCAACTGGGTACAGAATCTTTATATTGTTTCACTCCAACTGATATTCCCAGCTCCCTGTCCTCCACTCTTACACTGCCATAAATCAATACACTTATTTTCCACTAGCTTAATATGGGATAAATTAACTTCTAATAAATAATAATGACTTTTAAGAGGTTCTATATTACTTCTCACAGGCATAATTATACTGTTTGGATAGTCACCAAACCTGTATTTTGGCCAAATAACCAAGTATAAAAATGCATAATTGGATAAATAAAAAATTATCATCAAAATTTGAACTTATGGAATGGAAGAATAAATGTGAAGTGTTATCAAAACTTCATCATTATTCTTTATAATTGGAAATTGTAGTAGACATATTTAAAATGTTTCCTATATGACATCAACAATATTTTCGCAGCATTCACAATGTAGACTTCTATACTCTGTGTTCTTCAAATTTTCTCCTGTATTCACAATAAAAAGGATTTTATTAAAATGTAACTCTTTATATATACTTAATTTTGAATCTAAAATTCTTCATCAGGAGCAAGATGACAAAAATGTATTATAAAAGACTAACATTTAATAAAATAAAACTGTAATATTACTTTTTATTTTTTTAACTCATCTTTATTATTGAAGGTATTGCAGATGTTGCTCACTTTTTCCCCCATTGACCCCCTCCTTCCCAATCCTGTCCCCCTCCTGCCTTTCCCACACTGTTTTCAGTGTTCATTGCTTATGCATATATGCATAGAAGTTCGTTGGTTTATCTCATCCTGCCCTCCCTCCCCATTTCCCTTTGAGATTCATCAGTCTAACAAATAATTTGTACATCTTAAATGCCTTCATCTTTTTCACTCAACCCCAGCCCCCACCCATCTGGCAAGCACCAAAAAGTTCTCTATACCTATGAGTCTGTTTCTGTTCTGCTTGCTCATTTTGTTTGTAGATTCAATTGTTGATAGATACATATTAATTGCCATTTTACTGTTCTTATTTTTGTTCTTCTCCTTCAAGAAGACCCTTCAACATTTCATATAATACTGGTTTTGGGGTGATGAACTGGTTTACCTTTTTCTTGTCTGGGAAAGTCTTGATATGCCCATCAATTCCAAATGATAGCTTTGCAGGACAGAGTAATCTTGGTTGTAGGTCGTTGCTTTTCATCACCTTGAATATCTCTTGCCAATCCTTTCTAGCCTGCAAAGTTTCTTTTGAGAAAGCAGCTGACAGTCTTATGGGAGCTCCTTTGTAGGTAATGGACTGCTTTTCTCTTGCTGCTTTTAAGATTCTCTCTTTGTCTTTAAACTTTTGCATTTTGATGATGATGTGTCTTGGTGTGGACCTCTTTGGGTTCATCTTGTTGGGTACTCTCTGTGCTTCCTGGACTTGTATGTCTGTTTCCTTCACCAAGTTAGGGAAGTATTCTGTCATTATTGTTTAAAATAGGTTTTCTTTTCTTTTTTCATCCTCACCCGAGGACATTTTTCTATTTTTTGTTCAGATAGAGCGGGAGGGAGAGAGAGGAAGAGAGAGAGAGAGAAACATCGAAGTGAAGGGACACATCGAGTGGCTGCCACCCGCACAACCAACCAGGGCCGGGGACAAACTGCAACCGAGGTACGTGCCCTTAGCGGGAACCAAACCCGGGTCTCTCTGTACCGCAGGCCGACGCTCTAACCGCTGAGCCAAACCGGCCAGGGCTAAAATAGTTTTTCAATTTCCTGCTCTCTCTCTCTTCTTCTGGCATCCCTATGATGCAAATGCTGCTCTACGCTTGAAGTTGTCCCAGAGGCTCCTTACACTATTCTCATTTTTTTGGATTCTTTTTTTGTTTTGCTGTTCTGATCGGGTGTTTTCTGCCTCTTTATATTCCAAATTGATGGTTTGCTTCTTAGCTTTACCTACTCTACTATTGATTCCCTGTAAACTATTCTTTATTTCAGTTAGTGCATCCTTCATTTCTGACTAGTCCTTTTTTATGTTGTTGATGTTCTCACTAAGTTCCTTAGAGGTCTCCTTAAGTTCCTTGAAGACCTCACTAAGTCCCTTGAATGTCTCACCAAGTTCCTTGAGCAAACCTGATAACCTGTGTTTTGAACTCTGCATCTGATTGATTGCTTATCTCCATTTTGATTAGTTCTTTTCCTGGAGTTTTGTTCTTTTCTTTCATTTGGGACATGTTTCTTTGTCTCCTCATTTTGGCTGCTTCCCTATGATTGTTTCAATGTATTAGGCAGAGTTGCTATGTCTCCTAGGCTTCATAGGGTGGTGGCCCATTGATGTAGGTGTCCTGTAGGATCCAGTGGCATAGTCTTCCTGACCACCCCAGCTGGGCCCTCAAGGTGCACCCCTAGTGTGGACTGTACACCCTTCTGTTGTAATTGAGTCTTGATTGCTGTTGGCATGTCAGTGGGAGGGATTAACTCAGGTCGATCAGCTGCAAGGACTGGCTGTGCCCACTGACTACTGGCCTTTGAATACCTTGGAGGATCAGCTGTGTAGGGGTCCACCACACAGAGCAAGATTTACTTCACCAGGGCTCTGGTACCCTCTGAGACTGCTCACTGAGTGTGTCACTTATGAGGTGGTTGGGTGGTGGTGTTTCGATGTGGTCTGAAGCTGTCCACAGGGTTTGCTGGCTCTGGGGCACTGTCAGCCACTGTCTGTGTTCTATCTAGGGCCACCCAGCATAAGCTACAAAGTGATCTGCAGATGGCTGCTTCTTATGCTGGGCTTAGAGGTGTTCAGGAAAAGCCAAGTTGTGAACTAAGGCTGGCTGCTTCTTGTGCCAGGCTTGGGGCCACTTAACAAGAGGTATAGGGCTCACTGAGACCAGATGCTGCTTGTCTGAGAGTTTAGGAAACTCTGAAGCAGGATCCAAGACAGGTAAATCCTATGGTAAAACCACTCGAAACAGCTTGGGTGGGCCCAATAGTTGAGTAGGGCAGGACCTCAGGGAATCACCAGGGCAGGGAAAACAGTGTGAGCCAGGTTGCTACAGTCCCAAATATGGTGGCTGTCTGCCACCCCTTGGAAGGGCTCACCAAAGGAACATCAGCCTCTGCCAGCACCTTTGTCCAGAAGAAAGCTGCCCCTCCAGCCCTCGTCCTGAGACCAAACAGCTCAGTTCTTCTCTGTTCTCTGGGGCCCCTCAAACTGCCTCCCCTCTGAGCTTAGAGGGAGCAAGTCCAGAGTAAGTCCATACACTCTTTAAGAGGAACTGCCTGGGGCTCCCGCAGCTTAGCCTCCCTCAGCTTCAGTTCGCTCTGGTTTTTCCAGCCAGAAGTGATGAAGATTCTCTTCCTGGCACTGGAGCCCTGAGCTGGGCGCCTGGTGTGAGACAAGGATCCCTCATTCCTCAAGGAGGACCTTCCCAGCTGAGGTGTCCCTCCTGGTTTTTATCCTCCATACGTGGGTTTGGGACCAGTACATCTGGGTCTCCCCCCCTCCTACCAGTCTCTATGTGGTGGCTTCTTTAATTTCATAGTTGTAGGACTTCCATTCAGCTCAATTTCAGGCGGTTCTGAATGATGGTTGTGTTGTAGTTTAGTTATA